ATTTAGAGCCAGTGACTTCCAGGAGTCAAACACTAGACTCTCCAGTGAATCCAACTGCCCAGTTTGCAAACTGATATTATAAAACTAAGCCCAGCTCTCTTCCATGGTTGAAGAGTTAGCTCTGCTCATGATCACATTCCAAGTTCAATGAAGACCTTTTTATGAAAGTCCAAGAAATAAAGTACAGATGCAAAATAAGGGTCTGACCTCACTCCACACGCACATTAACACATACACTTGCCTTATCTTAAGTATGTGCCACCTTAAGATTTGTCGTATGATCAGATCTCATTGATCGCATTTTTTGTTTGCTCTCTTTGTCACTTAAAATGTATGTCACATGGAGCCACTTCAAACAAACCACATTTGTGTGTCAAGAGCAAACAAATGCAGTCAGCCCCTTTCACCTTTCACAATGTATTTTAGGATATCAGTTTATGTGGCAAACCCCATGAAGCGGGCCAACAAAGAACAAGTGACTTCACAGAGCTTCATAGTTCAACCTTCAGCCCTTCAGACACAATCAAAAGGTAGCCTGATCATCACACAGCAGAGTTTGAACTTCAGGTAACTGCACAGGCCTGATATCGAACTTTAAATCTATCTCTGAGCCATGTCACCAATGAGCTTGTTAGCCTCAAGATTAGTGACATGCCCATCTTCATTTTGGCACCCTGGAGACAGGAACAACCAAATTTGAACAAGATAAAGAACAAAGGCAAGGTAAAGCTGAAGAAGTTAAGCAATCAATTCGATACAGTCCATTCAACAAAATAACATAATAGTATGCGTCAGCTCTTTCCACGATATGGTAACCTATTTAGAAAAAAAACAACTTCTGTTGTCTACTTTTGACACTGAAGGAGAAGAGAGGTCTTCTGGAAACAGAAACATACCTCTAGCCAACTTAGACTGTCAGGTGAACAGAAAATCAGGGTTACATGAAGATATATCTCCTTCTCCTACAGCAAGCCAAAGCTGTCTCCAAAAAGCCAAATCCTAATGTTCATGCACAGACCAACTAAATAAATGTATGAGAAACCCTCAACATGCTAATTAGCATTCTGCAATTTTAGACACAGAAATACACTGCCTTAAATGCCAAAACATACTTCTTATGGCTTTTTCTTGTATGCATTTAAACAACCCTGTCAGTCATACATCCAACCACACCAAAGTAGAACAGCCATGGTGTCAAAGGTAAGGTGATGCCCAACAGACAACTACCTGTCACAGTCAGTAGTGACACCATGTCTGTGAGTGACACCGCAGGAATTTTGGCAGTGTTATGATTAAATAATTGTGTAATAAAGTTGTGAAAATGGTTTCTTGTGACTTATTGTTAATGTTTATTTCTACTGTATGGTTGGACCCCTTATATTAGGAGCTACAATGATCAAATTTTTGTCAGCAAGCATCAAGTGGCCATTCCTTGAACAGCAGTTTTTGGCACTTGAGAACATATAGGCATCAGACATTATGAGCTTCATCTGTAAGAACAAACTGCTGGCAAAATCTGAGCATGAACATCACAGGCAGCTGCATCAAAAACCAGTCTTTGTACTAATGAAATCAGTTCAGCCTGTTGGAAAAGACCTACACAAATTTTGATATCAAAGTAAAGTAATTTTTTTCTGTTTTTACTGTTTAGAGATCATACTCAAGTTTGTTAAGATGTAGAAGGTGCCAACAGGAAAATGTTGCATTACGAGGAAAGCATAAAAGAATTTTCTACTGTTATCATTATTCAATTATGGCTGTTGCTTAATACAGCAAAAAGAAGAAGTCAAGAAAAAATAAAGGAATGTGCTCGCTGAGGTTTTTGGAAGCTCTCTCACTTCACCACCCACTGAGATGTTTCTTGAAGATGAAACAGCTAAAACCAATATGAAGGCTCAAAAAGCATCTGTTAAACAGTGATTAAAATTGCAAAGATTTCAGACTTTGAGGTAGGGAATATTTAAATGTTGTGCGATGTGATTGAAAGAAGTTGTGATTGGAGTTGTTTGGCCCTCTGTTACAAACACTCTGCAGCTCTCCCGCTCCTCATCTCCTACATTAACAAGCTTCTATCATTAACCCCTCTCCCCACCTCCTGCATAAAAGCTCCAGCTAGATGCAAGATGGAGAGGATAAGAATGTGTTTCCTTTCTTTTTTCTTCTTGAGGAGCATCTTGAATGAATGATTGATGTTAGGGGAGCAGGATCAGAAAGATATAATCACGGTCTAACGAGCTCAGAGCCTTAAGAAATATATACCGGAGGAATACCATAAATTTATAAACACCACATATATTAATATATAAGCAGCCTATTGAATATTCCAAAAGATGGAAATAACATCTATCCTCCTCCGTTCTTTTAATACACATAAAAAGAAAGTTACAAACACTTGACCCTGAAACCCTGAAGCTTTTCCATCCACCCCTCACACATTTTTTTTTTTTTTTTTGCCCACAAACACTACACTAAAAAAAAAAAGGAATGAAAAAACTCATCTTCTTCATGGTCAATAACAAAATGAATTGCCATTCTTTGTGAGTGATAAGTGTTTTATGTGGAGATGTGCAGCATCAGTGCTGGGAGATAACTTCATTTCCAAGCTTTGATCACAGATGAGGGGGGAGACTGTAAGTCCATGTTCGGTATTTGAGCAGCTTTCAAGGGACAAATGGAATGTCAATCAAGCGCTGGTACACAGATGCTTTCTCCCTGATGGGGCCTGGGATGCTTTCTAGCGATGCAGCTCTGTTGTTCCAACCCTACTCTAGGTGCACTGGGAATATTTTGTCCTTTTACCTCTCCACACCCCCCTTGCTCTGTTCTAGTCCCCCTGTCTATACCAACAATTTCCTCTGCTCCCCAAGTTTGCCCCTTTAGACTGCCCCTCGTTTCCACAAACATGGTTGATGTTGAACATGCTAAGTTTGTTATTTCATCAGTTATGTTTGCTTTTTCTTCATCACAACTCATTTAATCTTATCTAGAGTCTGTGCCTCCGTCTGTCCATATAACAGGCAGCACTACATACTTTCTACACTACTTACAACACTAAAATACCTAGACACTAAACCACTTTGGGGAACTATATACTGTGTGTATATGTGCTTAACTATATGATACTATGTACACTAAACATTACATACTATACTATACTACACTATATACACTATACTTTACATTCCATGTTATACTGTACTATATGCACTACACTTTGCATACTATACTATACTTTACAATATACACTATACTATACTATACTATATTTTATATACTTTGCTATACTATATACACAATACTATACTTTACTATACTATATACACTATACTTTACATACTATACTAAACTATACTATACTATATGCACTATACTTTACATATTATACTATTCTATATACACTATATTTTGTATACTTTATACACTATACTATACATACTATACTGTACTGTACTATACTATCTACACTATACTGTACATACTATACTATACTATATTATACAATATACGCCATACTTTACATACTATACTTTACTATACTATATATGCCATACTTTACATACTATACTTTACTATACTATATACACTATATCTACTTTACTATACTTTACTTTACTGTATACACTATACTTTACTATTATTTACTACGCTATATACACTATACTATATATACTATACTATATTATACCATAGTATACTATACTGTACTATACTTAACTGTACTGTTCTATGCTATACTATATTACACTATATATTATTAAAAAATGTATTTCACTGGGGTCGATATAAGGATCTGAGAAAACAGAAAATCAGATCAGAAGAAAAAAGTGTTTGACTGAAGGTTGATGTGTGTGTGTGTGTGCGTGTGTGTGTGTGTGTGTGTGTGTGTGTGTGGTTGATAAATTTCACTTTAGAAAAGAAAAAGAAAGCCTCTTTGTCATTACCATCTGTTCTTCAGACACTCCTCCTCAGTACAAATACTAATACCCACTCCTGAATGCTTGGATTATACTTCATATAAAAATTTACACAGAGCATCAAATCAAACATATAACATAGATCCATAGACCTGACTGTGTTATCTGTTTTTAAAAAGACATGTTTTTTTCTGACTAATGACCAAAAACACTTTATTGGCTTATCACCGAATATCCGGTTTTGCAATACAATTATCACATGTGATGACCCCCGTTTTTTAGACTTTCCCAGATCTCTATGTCTAAAATCCTTGTCAAAGTCTTGGTCTGTAGAGTCTGTAGAGTCTGTATGGTTTTACACAGAAAGAGCTTGTCCTTTTACACTTTTGTGAAGAGGTTTCTTCATCACCTTGGATGCATGAGTAACATTTTACTCACAGTTCCTTGAATCCTCTACTTTCTCATTCCTGTCCCTGAAAATTCATTCTTGCCATTTTGCTTAAACATGCAGTTTAATTTCATGTAACATCCCAAACTCCTCTTACTACCCTTTCTCTTGTCTTTAGCTTCCTCTGTGAACTATAGAATATGAAAAGATCTAAAGGTGGACTGAAAAAAGGGAAAAACATTTTCTCTATGCATGGACTGGTAAAGACTTCATTAAAAACATGACAAGCTTTTCAGTAGGTAAAGGTGCTTACTCAAGGGAATGCAAAGTGTTTATTCTTTGATTAATTTGCTTTGAGGGGACCTGAAATCTCCCCACTCATGAAAGTGTGGATGACAGGGAGATTTCTCCGAGGTGACAAGTTATCTAAACTACAGGGCAAAACGATTATGCTAATACCAGGTTGTTGTCATCAATCATCTTGTGTCAATGGGGTGCCAAGACATCACGTACCCGCTCCCCCCTCTGGCCATAATACTATGGTTGCGTGTGTGTGTGTGCGTGTGTGTATGTGTGTGCGTTCAGAAAGGAAAATTGATCACATTCTTATTACGCCTCGGGAGTGTTGGGGGTAGGTGGGTGGGGGGAGTTGTACTTGCGCTTGGGTGGAGCTGTTCTCCAGGAGAGGAGAAGAGCTACCAGAACACCGGGATGGACTTAATTGGGTGAGTTTCTTCATCTCCGTCCGGATAGCGGGATGACGTCAGGGAGACGCACCTTAAAACCAAAGTGCTCATCACAGGGAGATGCGCGTTTTGATCGGGCGCTCACACTCTCTCTTTGGATTATAAGCAGAAATAGTTAAAGCTGCAGCAGGTGAACTATAGGCGGAGCTGTCAGGGATGAGAAGAACTATACTTTTGAGGACAGTTAATTGTGAGGAGACTGCGTAAAATGTCTCCAATTTGGATTAGGTAGTGGATCATTTAAATAGAAGAAAAGGGAAATAACAAAAAGCAACAGCAGAAAAGTTAACTGGCAAAAAAAAAATACACAAACAAAGAAAAAAAAACTTTAAATTGCTATTGGTGGGAGAAGTTTGGCACGGATGCTGTTGGATGTCTTCCGCGTCTGCGACCCCGTTTCCATTTCTCTGATCTCATTTGAGCCATGGCTTACACCCAGCTGGGATACTCTTACCCCGCCACACCGCAGGTAAAGTCAGTGTTTTTGAAGTCTTCTACTGGACCAAGTCGCTACTGTTTTTGTATTAAAAAGTCTTTGTTACATGTTTTGTTCTTTACGATAACATATCAGTGCGCAGCTGCAGATCAGTGTTCATCTCTCTTGGATGTCTGTTCACCCATTGTTTGCAATTTAATCAACAACTTTGCAGTGTAAAATCTATTTTTCTTATTAAATTTTATTTCACCAGGAAAGCCAAAATGAGATCAATAATTTGATACTTAGTACTCATGCGCAAAAATGCCTCTGATTTTTAAAATGGGATCGTGCTAAATGTACATGTTCTTGTCAAAGATCTTGATGACCTCCAGCTCTCTTTCTGGTTGTTTGGAACCGGGGACCTCTCCGTCACACACGGACCAGCAGCTCAACGCAGGGACCGGTACTGGAGTCTACAGTGGCCCGTACGCGAAGAGCCAAAGTTTTTATAACACCTGCGCAAGCGACGTCTCCGCTCTCTATACCGGGGTGAGTTAGAGATTAAAACTGAGCTTCACTGTTTCAGTAGTTTTACCTTCATTGAAATGACACGTATAGCCTACTGCACAAGAGGGACGAAAAGTAAAAAAAAGGGGTTTTATTTCAAAGATGACCTCTTTACAGAAGTGTGTGAAATGTAAAACTCAGATTTGTGATAGAATATTCTTTTAAAAAGCATCTCAGTTAATTTGAAATTTGGCACTAAAGTTTATATTACTGTTTACTGAACGTCTTGCCTTAACCCACTTTTTTATTGCTTTGCAACAGCTTGTATTAATGATTTATCTTTAATTACTTACTTCTGAAATGACACTTTTTATGTCTGCCTGCATACTTCAATCGTTTTTTTAAGGATGATAACAAAGCAAACACTGATATCAGTTATTTTCCATTTTTAGGGACCACTAGGTCACAAGGATGGAGCTGCATCTGTGCATGTGGGAGCATCTCAGACCCCTACCCATTATCCATATGAATATACATTTGGACAGTATCCCTATGACAGATATGGGTATGTATGAATGTTCATAAAGTGCTATGTATAGCCGTCAAATTAAACCAAATTGTTAGATTCAAAATTGTCATTTATTTACATTATTTATTCTCCATTTTGGACTGACGGTATATTACACTTACTAACCTCAAATGCATCTGTCATATTATCATTGCATACAAATGCAAATTAAGCAGAAAAATGTAAACGTCTTAGTATCTGGAAGTGTAAGAAAGTTGTTTTTGTTCATTATAGTATAGTCAGGTAATAGTTATCCATGATTGTGAACAGAGTAACTCTAAAATGAGTAAGGCTTTCAGCATGTGTCCCTCAGTTGTTCACCCAGGTCTTTTTTGTGTGATATATTTATACATTTTACTTTATTTGTGACCCTTTGGCTCAGGTATTCCTGCTCTGACAGTGCCTCTCGTCGTAAAAATGCCACTCGAGAGACCACTAGCACACTAAAAGCTTGGCTGCAGGAACACCAGAAGAATCCATATCCTACAAAGGGAGAGAAGATAATGCTTGCTATCATCACCAGGATGACCCTAACACAAGTAAGATTTCTTGAAGTTTAGTAGCCTAGTCCTTGTAGATTTTTGGCTTCCTTCCTTCTTTCCTGTATTATCTGTCTTGTCCTTCCCTTGTCTTCTCTTCACTGCAGAATTGTTTCCTTCCTCAACTTCTTTGTAGTTCATGTTTTAAGTTCCTTTCTATTCCTCTCCTTTCTCAGGTATCTACTTGGTTTGCCAATGCACGCAGGAGGCTGAAAAAGGAGAACAAGGTGACTTGGTCACCGCGGGCTTGTAAAAGTTCTGATGACCGAGGGTGTGATGATTACAGTGACGACGCTGAGAAGTCTCTTAAAGCAGATAAAGACCTTTCTGGTAAGCAGGGTCCAGTTTAATTTAGTCTGCACTTTCTGTTTGTTTCTATTTTTCCAAGTGTGGGTTAGTATAACAGACTTGTCTTACCTTTATCGTTCACTGTGCAGATCAACAGAGCGCGGATATTCAGAGTGACCTTGAGGACTTTGATCTATTCGAATCAGATGGTTCTGACTGTGAAAGGAAGCCACAGTTCCTCCCCAAGGAAAACAATGCAAACCCAAACACTGAACTCCCACATGGACACTTTGCACACAACCCTGACACGATGCTCAGAAAAGAGACTGTATCTCCAGACTGTCCTGCACTCACACCTGTCCAACAGCAAAAAAATACCTTCTATCCCACCTCAGGTCCTCAAAGTACAGACACCAAGGCAAAAATCTGGTCCATTGCTCACACTGCTGTGTCTTTGGATGGCAGGTTGCATCCAGAATACCCTCCCTGTATGCTGTCATCGACTGGGTCCCCTGGCCCTGGTTATCCATCAAACATGGCACTAACCAAGGCAGACAGGCAACAGGAGTCACCGGTAGCATCACTTAAAGAATGGGTGGATGGAGTTTTCCATGCTCCTTCTTTCCATTAGCCCAAACCAGCTGACTTATAAAAAGGTTTCAATGATCCTGATGGCAGAACACATGGACTATCCTTTGCAATTGTTTGGGTTACGCCTATGTGGCCTAACAAACACATACTTTTCATGATATCTAAAAGACTGCTGAAAGAAGGACAAAAAGTCTACGTTTTGCATTGTGGCTTGACTAGTTGACTGTTCACTAAGGTCCAGCGCCTTTTGTTAATGTTTGCTTTCATGTCTGTCAACCCTCCATTTTTAATATCAAGTTTATGTTTCTGGCCAACACCTTTTTTCTTGCTGATGTGGTAAATGTTTGTGGCACGGTTTACAAGCTCCAGTTAGCTTGCCCATTTTGTTACTATGTAACTAAGTACTTGCATTTGTTTCCAGCTGAAAAGAGATCTTATATGTGCATTTGATGCTGAAATACCCAACGTTGTGCTAACAGGCTGAGACAAGAGCTTCAAGTCCCAGGCAAAAAAGCAAGAGTGTAATTACAGGTTGATTACCAGAGTTGAGGACATCCAGGTTTTTATGATGAGTACTGACAAATGCAAAGGTCAAATCTCATACTATCAAGTAACAGGTAGAGGTTCCTCAGATTTACAAAAAAAACATGAAGAGAAGGACAAAGTTGCTAATATACACACAAAAAACGACCCCACAGAACAGCGGATTGGCTACTTATTACTCCGGACAACACATTGAAAGTGATCAGATTAATGTAGCAGATAGGAGCCCAGACAGGATTAGCAGGACCAAGACCTGAAGAGAGGCAGGTATTTCATTACTACCTATTTCAGAAATTAATCATTTTAAACAAATATCAAATAATAGATTGGTTTATTAATGTAAAAATATTTCCCCTGTTGGGAACAGCATGTTATTTTGTCAGTTTGAGCTGCTTCCTATAACTTTTCACCCTGTAGCCCTCATAAAATAAGCTGACTTATCAGTTATTACTCACATTAAACTTACCATTTCTTAACATGAGTGAAGTTAGCTGTTGTCACCCCCAATTAACATGCGTCTTCTTCAATTTTTTAGATTTCTCTGTCATAGCCCCCAGTTTTTTACTTTAACCTTTAAAACATCCTTTTCTCATTCTTTTAGTCTTTATTCTGGGTTTACTCACCTCACAGAAACTGAACTCCTGTTAACTGGCTTTCTTTCCACACATTGATGCGCACTACTTTGTGAATTAATTGGTCTGCAGGGGTCTCTGAGTACAGCTGCATTTATTAGGAAAAGTTTGAAACCTCTACAGATTTGAAAGACACCTCGATTTAATGGAAAAATCCACGACTTGATAGATCTGGTGGCTAAGCAATAATTGAACAATTGTAGTTTGGAGGGTATTTAGCAAACAGTTATTTAAAAATTAAAGATTATAATATATTGTCCTTATACTCTGCTTTAATGGGACCCATCATTGCTCAGTTGTCTCAGAGCAAATAAGTGTTACCTCACATGTTCCTTCAGCAAAGGTTGTACAGTTTCACACATAAAGGATATACAATATTGTATACATGCACTATAGTCTGCACATGCACTGAGTCTCAAAAAATAAAATCTATAGTGTTCTGTAGCATTGGTAATTTCTCTGACTGTGTCCTTACATTAGCTGTCCACTGTGTAACAACCGCTGGCACCTGATCAGTTAAGATGATATAATCTGTTTGGTATTAGTGAGAGAAGACCAAAGCAGGTTTTGGTGTGTCAGTATGAGTCTGAGTGTTTGTGTGCGTGTGTGTTTTGAGGGAGTGAAAGGGGGGAAGTGGGTGGTATTCAGCCATGACTAATGGAAACACACAGAGGAGTGTGCTGCTAAATTGTTAAATCGATGCCACTTCTACCTCGGCTCCAGATATAGCTGCAATCAGCGATGCGTCCCTTTTCATTAGGCGGCTTTTGACTCTGTCAACCTGGGACTGCTAAAAAAAAAAAAATCCACACTCATAAAATGCTTCATAAAACCTCAAAGTATTTCAAGTATTTCATGTTTATACACTTCAGTGACCTTCAATCTGACCAAAACTTAGAACAATCGCTGAATTAAACCGAGAAATATGGCTGAGACCATTAGACTTTGATGTTTTGTGAAAAAATACACCCCCTTCAGGTTTAATTATTCAGGAAATTTTCAGAAATTTAGCAGTAGAAACATTCGACCCAACACTTCCTAAAACAAAGAACAATAAAAAAACAGAATTTCTTTTTCCCACTCCCATCTCTGTCTTTCTGTTTTCGATTTAGGAAGACTAATTAAGTATTTATTAGAACAGAGGAGGGATCGGCCCGGGCTTTGTATGGAATTAACCATTTCAGATTAAATAATTCAGGATGAATTCAACCGAGAATTTCATTCTGTTTCTGCCTCATAAATAAGTAAGATTTAAGATGATAAATAATGACATCTGACTTCTTATTTCTTTAAAGTTCTATTTTTTTACACTTGATTTCTGACAGGGACTTTATAGTGGTTGGCAGTAAATATGTATATTCCACATTTTGCTCACATTTATCTCTTGTCCTGTTCAAAATTCATTTTCAATTCAAAGGTAATGACACAAATTTGTCTCATTTTAACGAATCTTTGGGTGAATTTCACAAGTAGCGGGTGGAAGTGTCATGAAGTCTACAGAATGGCAGTCAGATAAGAGGTCGACCGAGTGCTGAGTGGGGTTTAGAGATATGAGCCTACACTTGTTCTCACATTCAGCTGTCTGAGATGAAACTTGTCTCTTTGGGGCAGAGCTACAGGAAATTGCCAAAGCTGGTTTTATGACAACATTTTATACAGTAATTAACTGCTGCACATTAAATCTGTTCTCAACCGAAAAAAAAACGCACATTTCATTTTCAGGTCTTTGGTATTTTTGAAGGACTGTCTCGAATCTTTGCTCCACAGTTGTCATGATGTCAGTGACTTTTTAAAAAATTCTTTAGATCTGTATATAGACTTGATATAACTTGTTTGAGTGAGTTAAGTAAACGTAAACAGGGATCACTGTTTGAAAAGTAACCTGCCAGTTTAAAAAATCCTGTCAGAGAAGTTGTCGATGGTGATTTGATCACTAAAATTACGGACAATGTTTGAAAAAGTATTTGCAAACAACCATCTTAACCAGAAAAATGACACAGTTGTGGCTGGTTGTTTGTTTTCTGTGCGAGGGTCACCATTTTATCATTCTTCACAATGCACTTTTCCTCTGACTCCATCTGATTCTCCCCCTCACTCATCTCACTTCACTTCTGCCTGCTCTTAAACAAGCTACCCAGCTGCCAGTCTGATGTGAAGGCCTGCTCTCTGAGGTGTATAGTAGGATTACGTCTGTTTCTATACATGCTGGAGAGTGTTAAAGCCATTGTTTATTGGTCACATCACAAGGAAGTTGTGTGGTCCTTACACTTGTGGGAAAACTGACACAGGTGTGGTAGAAAGGGACTCTCGCCAACTCTTTACCGTAACCTTTTTTGAAGCTCCTCTACATTTCCAACGGAATGTCTCTACAAGAAGTATTGACAACTTCAAATTGCTCCCCTCTGCACCCTGTCTGACACTTATTTCCTTTCAACACTGTCTGTGTCTCTGTCACACATACACACACACACATGCAATCATAGATATCCACAAAGTTCTGAGTCTCTTGCGTCTTGTCACACACACTTTAGTTTCCGGGGCTATCAAAGTGCTGAGTGCAAACTCTGTCTCCTCCAAAAACTGTCACATGTCGCCAGAGGTGTCTCGCTCCCTGTGGTAACCCTCTGAGCTCCTGGCACAAGAACAAGTCATTATTTCCACGGTAAAGGTCAGAAGCCCTGTCACCTGACTCTAAAGTGGAGCTGAGTGGAGTTGCCTCGAGACAATGACCAAAGGTCAGTATCCTGTTTTGCCTCTCATACAGTAAGTGTGGATTTGAGGAGAACAGGCTGCTCCCAGATCAGCCTGTGAGCTCCTTTTGGTCACAGAGGCTTCCAGACATGGAGGTTCAGATAATTGGCAGCAGAAAGTACCATAATGAGCCTGAGGGTGTGTAATGTGACACATCTCCAAAGAGAAATATTTTAATGGGGCAATTACAGCAACAATGGGAATGTTCTGTGTAAAGTAAATGATTGTTTTGGACAAGCTATGATAAGTATTCATCGGCACTGAACTACATTATACAGTAGATCCTGTGGTCCTGTTTAAAAAGGAAGATTTTATTTGATTTAATTTTTTCGGCTAAAGTCTGACCCAAAGGTGAAGGTTATATTACACTCAAGAATTGTATGCGTAGTTTGTAGGTTTTATCCTGATTAATGTATGTGGATACATGGAGGTAGCTATAAATCCCTGTAGTGATGTGAGGGATGAAAGTTAAACTCATGAATCCGTCAATCTGGAAACTCTCTGGATCTGACTTTGTGATCTGGAGATACTTAACATACCGTCTGAGATGTAAAAGAATCTTCTCTCATGCTGGCTGATACATTTAACGGGAGTGAATTATTAAACAGTGCAGTTTAATGTAGCGCAGAAACAGGACTGTTTAACTCAGCACAATTCATATGCTCAGTTTCATCAGAAGATTTTGCCTCTGGCAATGCCTCAAACTCAACCATCCGCCACAACTCAGTCTTACCAACTGCAAGACCAAACAGGCAGCTCTCTGACATTGACCTGGCTTGCCTGCCTCATTTCAACAATGCACCTCTCTTGCCTTCAGTCATCCAAACGGGTCTGACTGTAGATAAGGTTAACTACAGCATAAGCTACACTTCCAGGAGTCACCAGGGCCAATTATATCAGCCTGACTACCCTGCCCAACCTCAGCTCTATGGTGTGGAAACTGCTGCTCCACTAGCTGCATAACTGGGGACAGAACAGGCTAGTGCTGTCTGGAGCCAGAGCCAAGCGCAGGCCAATTTGGCTTGCATAGGTCTATGGAGAATAAGTCTGATGAAATATAGATATGATCGTCTTCAAACATGTATTGTTCCGCACTACTGTGTCTTATCATGCTGGCTCCCTCCTGATGTCTTCCTGGCCAGGCAGAGTGAGACTCTAAAGCGCAGATTGTGTGGGCCTAATGCACAAGGAACGCTTGGGTTCTTCCAGTGCTGGTACAGTAAACAATTGAGAAGAACCAAAACCTTTTTTTTTTTGTCTTTATGTAACAAGTTCAAAGCATTACCTCCAGGAGTAGTTTTCTGTGTATGAACATTTTGGTTAAAAAAAAATCCATTCTATTTAAACAACTACATAACACTTTTACTACACTCGTACAACTTTCACCAGATCTCACTGAACAGGCTAACTGAAGGTTTAGAACAGGCATATTTTAGTTTTTGTGTAACAACATTTCGCTTTGGTTTGTAGGGTGTAAAAATCGCGTTAATACCTTGCCTTTACTGTATGTAGTGTCTCTTCTTTGTCATGACACAGAAGATTAATTTGTGGGACACCACTGACCTCTGCCTGTAAAAGAAGGAAACTACATCCAGATGTCCCTCAGCACCTCCTCTTTCGCATGTTACTTCAGACAACCTTGGTTGTGCACTTTGATCAAACATCCATGGGTATGAAGCAGAACCCCCTTTAAAAACTGAAAAAACACCAAGAAATGTGAGAAACCATTTCTAAACACAATTCTAATGGTGAGTCTCAATCGCACCAATCAGCCATAACCTCTCTCCTAATGTTGTGTGTCCCTCTCTTGTCAGTTTATTTTATATTTCTCTATTTATACAGCCTCAATTCACAACAAGTGCTTTTGCAAGATGCCTAACAAAAAAACAACAAGGCTGCTCTAGACCAACATGAAGATCTGGGAACACTGATCTCCATCTTTTAAGATCAGGCCCACTCACATCCCATCCACAGGAGTGTTACACATTTAGCAAGTCTAGTTTAGGACCAAAAAATCCTGATCTGGGCAGACATAGACTGGTAGACTTCCGACAGACTGTCGTGGCGTATGGCGCCAAGACATTGGCACCAGAGCCTACAAATCCTGTTGTAAGAGGGGGGCCTAGTAACAGGGCTTGGTTGTTCAGCATATCTCACAGATGCTCAGTTGGATTGAAATCAGGTCAACACTGTGATGTTCCTTTAGGCTTCTCTCTGCCATTGTTCTGTGGTCCAGTTCTGGTGCTAATGTGCCTATTGCAGGTTCTTTCTGTGGTGAACAGTGGTCAGCATGGAGATCCTGACCAGTCTGCATAACCCCATGCATAAGAATCACTGCTCTGTGTTCTGACATCTTTTTATCAATCCCAGTATCAATTTCTTCGGCAGCTTAAGTTCCAGTACATCTGCTGTTGGACCTGACGAATGTGCCGGCCTACACTTCATCAGTAAGTCTTGATCACCTACTAACTTTCAGCTGATTCAGCAGTTTTTTGACCACCAGGAGAAGAACCAAAGTCAGCAGCTAAGCGCGACATATTTGAAGATACTCTGTTTCAGTCTGATCATCACAGTTAAACCCTTCAGTCACTCACATCCTTATACTTGCCTATATGCTTACACTACTTCAAACACATCAACTAAAAGGATAAAATGTTTACCTGCTATTGAACATATCCCAACTAACTGATGCATTTTATTTCACCGATCCGTGGTCAGAAAGCTTAGACTGGTTGGTGTAAATGCAGAGTTGTAATGTGGTTTGTTGATGTGTTGCAACATTTGAGTACAGATAATATCAATAAAAAGAGTACCTTTGATGGATAGACAGTGTTTAATTTATTAACCAATATGGCAATCACATAAAGAAGTAAAGACTACAGAAATAATTCAGTGATGGTGCTTTTGCTTGAACTGTAATCCACAGTAGCCACATGTGCCCACTTTTGTATCTTTATCCTGGTAGAGAGAGAACAGAGAGAAAAACCAAGAAAGAAGGAAAAAGGTAAAGTTAGGTTTTTTTAATTTAGATTAGCAATTTTGCTGTCAAGGTGGATAGAGGAATAATCTCACATATTTTCGCACAGATAATGTTATCAGACCACAGTAGAAAAACATATTTGCACAACTTAGATCAAACAACTTGATCATTAAAGCAAGAAAATTCTCATATTCATCTTTTTATTAAACAATTTTACACCAAGAACAAATGTGCACAAAGAGTGTACATTAACATTTCAGCATTTTGGTATTCTGCAGCAACCACTTTTTAGTGAACAAAAAGTGTTCAACAAACCAGAATATGTTTCATATTTTAGATTCCTCAAAGCATGGAGCTGGTTGAGAGAATGATATCAAAAATATATTATATTAAGTTATTTCACATTGTTTTGTTAACTAAATTATTCCAGAAGTGTTCCTTCATAGTTTTGGTGTCTTTAAAATGAATCTACAATGAAGAAAATGACTTTAAAAAATGAAAGAAACTGATATATAAGATGTATAAGAAAATTGTTGGTTTAAATAGGCTTTTTGTCAAAGTGAGTATCCTTAAAGACAAACCAAAGATGTTACGTTCACAAATGAGTCAGTTGTTTGAACAGCTCTTTTAAAGTCCCACTCTGGTTGTTTTTTTTTTTTTTGACTACGTAAGGTGTCATCAGAGGTCTTTAAATTGTAATTATGAAGTTTTTAGCCAAAATCACGCTACCTGTGTCATTTTCAGGTTTTTTTTTCTGCAGAGCTCCAGTAGCTCATTAGCAATTTGCCTCTTAGTCATGAGCAGAGACAGCGCTGGTCTGCACACTCCTCTTCACGCTAGCTTGCAGCCTAGTGCTACAGAAGTAACATAGGAGCTATTCGGCCCCCCAACATGAGTGTCTTTGAGGATATAATGAAAGCTAATACCATAATTAGCTCTCATACAAGCATTGCAATCCACTACTGCACACACTTGTCTGGACGCGCCGTTGGGGTCTGCCAGAGGTTCACAGTGATTTGATGGCAGAAATACTCAGAAATGCAAATTTGCTCTTAGTTTTCTCATGATGTGTCCTCTAGCATCAGAAAAATGCCATATGACCATATAGACAACAAGAAAAACATGATTTTCATTTGAGAGGGTCTGTATGTCAACGATGAGAACTGGCTCATAGTGGCGAGCCGTTTGTTTGCAAGCCGTTCTCATATGCAAATACACACTGCCTTCATGTGTCACCTGTGTGCCCCAAATACCAGGTAGGGTAGTATAATTTTGCATTCACATTTTTATCATATCTTAATTTTTATCAGTGATCTGTAGCCTGCATAGTTTTTATTGTGCCAAAAAGTTTTTTAGGTGAGGAAAAAATTCAAAATATGATCTCACTGTCAAAGCATGGGGATATGGCTGCTCCTTATGGAATGTTTACAATGAAAACACATGACAAATGAAATTATAATTAATATTCCGGAATAATTCTTGCCAATAGAGAATGTATTGGTGGGATGTGTAGCCCTGGTTGTCTTCTAAAAAAATAAATAAATATAACAACGGGACAGTCTTTTGAATGGCTCTTTGAAAGGAACGTCTCCTCAATCTGGCTCTTTTCAAAGAGCCATTAATCCCTTTAGATTAAAATCCCTTTAGTCTCTAAACCCAATCAAGGTGGTTGTACTTGCCCGATACTTTCAAAACTGACCTTTTCTAAATGATGGATAAGTAAGCATGTAAAGGTAAAGGTTACCAGGTTGATGTAGACTTTGGGATGGCCCAGGGCTCCTCCACCACCATCACAGGACACCACTCTTGCCGCGATATCAGTCACTGGCTCCTCTGCCACCAAGTTGATGGCAAAGTTCTTATTCACCTGACACAAACAATGTATTGTTGATTACTAAAGTGAGATCAATGCAAAAAACAGCTATTCATTACAAAGATTAGATCAACGTTAAATGATAAATGATACTGTTCTCAACCCAATCTTTATATGGCAATGATAATGATCATCTACTATATGTGTGTTACAACTTTAAGAGCAAAGCAGGATGTGCTTCAGTTGAAGTTACACACTTTAAATGGTATAATATCAATAAAAAGAGTGCCTCAGGTCTTCAGGAAGTTCTCTGTTAACAATACCTAAAGTTAAAACCAAGACATACAGTGAGGCATCTTTTTATTATTATGGCCTCCGTCTATGGAACAGCTTACCTGAAGATCAGAGGACTGCACCTATCTTAATGATTTTCAAAGTAAACTGAAATCATACCTTTTTTAGTCTTGCTTTTAACTAAATTTTATATCATAGACTTTGTTTAAGTGTTTTAGCATTTATCTATTCTAGTTTTAGTCCAGGATCATCTTTTATTTAGCTATTTTGGTGCTCTTATGTTAGTATCTTTTACTGCTGTTTTCATTTCATTTTATGTATTAATTCTTAAATTTCATTCTATATTTCTCTGTCTTTAGATTTTAACCTAAACTCTCAGTGTTTCCTTATCTTGACTTTTATAATGATGTTTCCTCAGTGCGCACATTCCTGTTTTCGTGAAATCAAGCCCTTTTTAAGTTTATGCATTTTAATACTGTTTCTGTTGCAATTAGATCGTAAGGTGGAAATGAGGGGTTGGGTTGGGGTAGACTTGGGTATTCTTTGTTTCTTTTATTCCTTTTTCTGTGTAAATCACTTTGTGCTACATATATGAAAAGTGCTATATAAATAAAGACTGATTGATTGATATTATAAAAACTTAATTGACTCTCACATCTGTGCATGTGGTTGAGGAGTATACTTGCATTAAATTTGGTTGTTTTAGTCAAGACTATGCTACAATATATTTTCCCCAACTATATTTAAGTTTCCTGTTAAGGGCCAACCTCCAATTTTGTAAAGCTCAGATTCATTCCTGTTAATTCCCATATACTCCCGTTCATTCCCATGGAAAGCTTCCAACTTTGAAAATGTTGCAGACCTAGTGGGTATCTAATTTTACATGTTTTTGTGAAGTTAAGTCTTACCTCTTTTTGTCTACCAACGAATCTGGCTCTTCTGGGATCTCCTTCATCATACACCTGAGGAGAAGAATATTAGGTCAGGTTTACCGCACCAGTAGTAAGACAACCCAAATGTAAGACGAAGCAGTCTGGGTTTCCGGTCGTGAATGAACGGATTAACTGACCTTTCACACAATGTTTAAGCAAAACATAACAATATGATCCATATTAAGAGCTGTCCGACAACGGACTCACTCAACCTCCAAACAACTTCGCCACAAAAACTGAGCTGTCGATCCGGAGAGCAATGACAAACCAACACACCTGAGAATCACTCTACAGCTTACCTGGCCGGTGTGCGTAATGGCCTCCCCGGTGCTGGAGATCTCCACGCTGTACCGGTGTACGGGTACAGCAGTCAGTTTCAGAGGTGAAGCGAGCACCTTAACATTTTTACTGAAGGACAGGAGCCTACCAACCGCAGCCGCCATGTTGACAACAACCGTTTCCCAAGCTGCTTTGCGAAGGACGCTTGCGTTTCAACTCTTTAAACCCTGCGTTTTGCCTGCCAGGTTCTTGGATTGGCATACTGCCTATTACTCTTTGTGAGCTTTCAAAATCAGTCAAGCGCACTAAAATATCTAAAAAAAACTCGATATAACATTTAGAGGTAGGCTCTGTAGAATATTTTTTGGGGATTACGAGATAAAACTGCCCTACAGGCTTCACCGAGGGCACTATATCCTTCTGCGCGATTCGTACCCGGATATACTTGTATCCTTGCAGCGAGTGAACCACCTCGCCTCTGTTGTGGCTATTAAAACGTGATATTCAAGGACATTTCTAAGTGTAAAGTTATTGAGGTAAATCTGACGGGTTTTTTTTCACTTTTGATCTCAAACCATGTGAATGTGAATGTGCCTGGTCAGGGAGTAATGTGTGTCGGATTCCGTAGACCTCGCGCTGGTGTTTGCGGGTCAACCATGCCATGCTAGTTTCTTTTCAGCTATCTTCTGTAAACATTTAGTGTTACAAACGCGTGTTACCGCTTTCAAATGTCATCTGCAAGGCAAAAATGCATATTAAAGGGATATTCCGGCGTAAAAGTAAGTTAGGGTCAAACACACTGCAACACCGAGTTAGACACCTCGTCTATAGATAAATGTTGCCGACTGCTTGCTTCTCTAGTAATGACAGCACTAGCCACCAAACATCTTTTTTAACTTTGCCTAATTTCTGTAGCAAAGAGACTAAACACAACTCACCGTCTCTCTTCCAGCAGCTGCTTGCCTGTATGGAGACCCCAGGCGAGTCCATTGCCGCAGCAGGGGGACGCAGCTCAAGGAAGAACATATATGATCACTACTCAATGGAAATGCAAACAGACCGAGACGCTAAGGCAGACCAACTACCGCGTCTGCAGTGCAAAATGATTAATATAATGATTACTACTTAAAGGAAATGATAAAGTAAGGATCATGAATGTTCTTCCTTGAGCTGCATCCCCCTGCTGCAGTCGATGGACTCACCCGGAGGTCACAGTATACACAAGCGGCTTCTGGAAGAGAGACGGTGAGTTGTGTTAAGTCTCTTTACTAAAGAAATTAGGCAAAGCTAAAAAGATGTTTGGTGGCTAGTGCTGTGTCTAGGACCCTATATGTATTGTTGATGAAGTTAGGTGCTGTTCTGAGCATTATTTGTGGCTATAGAGTGGCGTTTTGGTTGAGCGCGTAGCTGTATTGCTATCTGTGGTCGCTACTAAAGTTTGTATAACTAGAGAAGCAAGCAGTCGGCAACATTCATCTCTCGACGGGGTGTCTAACTCGGTGTTACGGTGTGTTTGACCCTAACTTAATTTTATGCCGTAATATAATTCACGCGATAGTTGAAAATTAATGCAAAAGCTACGTTGTTGTATAGCTTGATGTTTATCGTATTTTGATGCAAATACTTGATAACAATAAAAAGTCCAGACTAAACTTATAGTCTAGGGTCAGTCATGTAAGGTGCTCATTCTGTAGCTGAACTTCACTTGTCTGTTTTTTTTTTACTTTGTAGCTGAGGCACCATGACGCCCCTCCTGTTGAGGCACCTTGCCACCTCAGTATCCTCCCAAGTGGCCAACATCAGCAAGATAAGTAGGATTTTCCCATCACCAGCTGCAAGTATCTACAGAAGTCTCTACACCCTCACCACAGCTCCCCGGGTACTATTCCTGTCATCAAGGAAAACTGGCTCCATCCAGCCCCCCTTGCCTGGCTCATTTGGTCAATGTGGACAATCCTTGTTGCAAGAGTGCCAGCATCTTTCTTGCGTCCAGCCTTCCAGAGGGATGAAAACAAAGTCTGCCCTGAGGAGGCGCTGTAAAGACTGTTTCATTGTCCGACGGAGAGGAAGTTTGTATGTGTTCTGCAAGACAAATCCACGGCATAAGCAGAGACAGGGCTGAAATTAAGTATTATCGAAAAGAGTGTAGAGAGTTTGTGGCTATGTTTTGAGAACTGTTCTGCAATAAAACTGCTTGAAAAAATATTAACATTGCTGCTTCAGTTGTCTTCTATTTACTCTTTACATCTGCCCATCCATCCATTCATTCATCTTTTTTCTCAGTCAAGGTGTTAGGGTGGTTTTCTTTAGCCAGTCATGTCAGCCTCTAGGGTGTTGGAGCTGTGTCACTCAAATACCTTGGATACTTTGGTGCTAGATTTCTGGAGCCATGGGCCTGCGACAACCATCCTCATCAAGGACATTGTACCCATGTTTAACATCACTCAGGCTCCCAAAATATGTTGTGCTTTATAATTAGCACCGTACATGGACTCTCCTTTAGGTCAACAAGATGCACGCAGAATGTTTGGAAACATGGATGGCTATATATGCCTGAACAGTCTAAGACCAGTCTTTGTTACACTTGTGGCATGATGAAGTTGTAACCCAGATCTGCAACCAGTAAAACTTGCCAAAATGATAATTCGTGTGGACCTTCCATTCTTTAGAGTGTGAACATGGGCTAGGCATCCTTACACAAGGCAAGCCTCTCCCCAGCAACACTTTCCAGCAACCTCCATCTCATTATGGAACAACATTGGCTCCCTCCACATGAGGGAGCCAATGTCTATGCAACATGGGTACTGGATTCAAACTTACTTTTTACTTGCCCACTTTGCCTGTCATCTACTCTAACTTTAGTCACTGCAGAAAAGTATTGTTATGGGATAAGGGACATACAACATTATCTGTGTCTCTTATCAGGTTCACTCTCTTTATGCCAAGACCTCACTCTTTATCCAAAAATCTTTGTTCTTCAGCATTATTCTATCATTACTCAAAGACAAGTTGGCATACAAAACATTGCTGACTGAAACAAGCAAGGTGGAAGCGATGGAAACTGGAGTGGTATGAAATGTGTTTGGCAACAAACACTAAACCCACAACTGTCACCCTGCTCAAGTAGTGTTTTAAAGGTTAATGTTCACTGGAGGAGGAAACAGAAACATGTCACCTGCAGTGGCTAAAATCTTTGTTTCCTGAGAGCACAACAGGAGGGCATGTCTCCTGAATATTTTATTATGACTATAAACAAAAGTATAAAACGCCTCAAAGATATCCCACATGCAGACTTCCTCTCCACCGTCCAACCATCATTTAACCAACAAGCCTCAGGATACAGTGCGCATCAACCACAGCTTTAGCTTTGATAAACAAAGTCTGTTTATAAATAAGCAGCTGCTATCAACTCATGGCGAGAACTCTGGAGAAATATGTGGGTGGATCAGAAACAAGAGGGAACTTGATTCACAGAGATACACTGAGCCTTGTTTCACAAACTCACCCACACCTAGAGACACTTATTTTACTATAAATGTTTAGTGAGACGATTGTTTTCGTTTGTTGTGAAAAGTAGATTGTTATTGTTTCGCGTAGAGGCTGTAACCTCTTCTTTTGCAAGCTTGCAACAGTACCTAATCTACACGGTGAACCCAGGCTCTAATACATTTAGCCGTTCGTTTCTGACATTATACTGTATTTTTGTTCCAATGTTTGGATCAGACGACACTGCAACTTCTGTTACAGAACACATAATTTGTGACACTGGAGAGGAGGGTGTAACTTCGTGTGCCTACAGGTGTTGTGTCGTAGAATGCACCCCTGCAGTAGAATGCATCCTCTGACGGGAGCGCGGTTGAAAGTACACAACAAGGCGAAATAATCCAGGTTTTCCTGACCATTGGATGGATTTAAAAGTGTGTGCCATTAATGATTTCTTTCAGGCTATTCAGATAAGCCGAAAACTAATAGCCCTCTGATTCGGAACATTAGCTGTCCCTAAAATGTAATGTTCTCTACCTCGACAGCTAACTGTACAGTTTATATACCCATGTACACCTATATCTGTGCATTGTTGAGACACATAAAAACAGAACGAAAGTTTGCTGCTCCATTTTACATGTTCTCATGACCCAATACTCGTCTTTTTTGTAAATATGAGACAATTGTTTTCCTCTTTAAGAAGCTAATGAGTGGCTGGAATGCAGGGGTGCATTCTACGGCATAACACCGGTCGCCACGTACTGTCGTCCCCTTCAAGTTAAAAGCTCGGACAACACCGCAGTTTCATGATAGTGGGCACCCATTGACTGTATATACAGTCTATGTGGGCACCTTACAATCAGACCTAAAGGCTGTGTCATTAATGTCACGGTGTTAAAGATGTCTCGAGGTAAAACTCCAAGAATTACACCAACATTTTGAAGAAATCATTTCGACAACTAGTTATGGGTTGCAAAGATATATCCACACAAACATGAACACCTTTTCATTTTGTCACATTAGCTTTGACATTCTCGTTTTTACATTAAACCCCGAGGGCTTCCCTGATCCACGCCACAGCCACAGGTGTTTTATTATGTATGTCACTGCCGGATGTCGCGTGCTTCCACTTGGTAGCTTGTTGTCGTACGCCATCCTCCCAGCCCTGCCTACTGTTTTTCTGTCTAGTGGGCAGTGGAGGATGGAGTGACGGCTGAGGAAGATACGTTCAAACACGGCAAAACACGAACTCAATCACGGGGAAACTCATACACGTTTTTCTTTCGAAGTGTGGTTCTCGGGACAAGAGTAATGAAGTCTTCACAGAGTCGCCCCTCCAGAGTAGGGAGAAACCCCTTCGTCCACGAGCTGAAATTCACCATGAGAGAGAAAATAAAGGTAAGTCAGTTTACGTAATGAATCGTAATGCACATATGTATCAACAAAACTTTTGCTTGACTCTTTGAACGCGTTGTAATGCGGTGAGTTACTTCATCCAAACTTCACACGTCAAAGCTAAGATCTGACTTACACTGTAATGATGTCCTGCTCTGAGAACCATGTGCAGCCATTATGTAACATTACATGACATTACTGTTAAAAACTGAAAAGGAAAACAAACAAACAAACCAAAAATATTGGATAGAAGTTGCTTTAAGTTACCAAAGAGTCAGGTTATAGTATAATGTTTTCTTGGAAATGTGCCTCATGTTTCATGCTCTTAATCAGTAATCAAAAAGAGCAATAAACCAATTCCACATGTTAGGGCTGGGCGATATAAGAAAAAGTTTATCATGATACATTTTTTTTCTTATCAGTCGATATCCATATACTGTATATCACAATATAAAAAAACAGGTTCAGGTGGTGAAAAATATCTGAGGTATTCCCCGACTTTGCGAGAACATGTACCCGACATAATTTACAGTGCACATTACTCTGCTTCATGTCCGACCTTAAAAAAAAGAAAATACCTCCACACCACCGATGTTTACATGCCAGTGTTGTCAACGATGTCATCATCTGTTGAGCCTTCATCTGCTACCCCGGGCAGCACTAATATTTCTTGTTTTCTCACCGACAGTGCTGTCGGCTTCACGTGTTAAAATGCTATTGTTGCGTGTAGCTGCAGCCTACTACTTCGCAGTTGTTTGCCTCTTGGTTCTAATTCAGCACATGATCGGTTTAGCGAAGCGGACACAGAGCAACTTCCCTTTTCATTGGCTATTTGTATAGCCTACCAAAACATGGCAGAATGACAACTATCGAAAAGCATATTGACCATGTTTTACATCGAGGGAAATTAGTTTTCGATATCAATATCGTTTTACCGCCCAGCCCTACCACATGTGTATAAAAAGTGCCCACTCATGCTTAATTTATTGCATTGTAAGTATTGACTGAAGAAAGTGAGTAAAGCTAGAAGGTTTTAATCTATTCTTGGATGTGAAATGAATGAATAAATCAACCAGACAGTCGTAGTTAAACAGTGACATTTCATAACAATTGTTATCTTAATACATGTTCCAAAAAAGCTGGTCTAAACTGGACTTTTTGTTTTGTATTACAAAGACCCCAAATTAAGATAAGATATGGCAAGGTCTGATTCAGCCTTTATGCACCATGACCAAAACATTTTACAGCAAGTAGATGTGGTAAGGAAAAAAATGCCTTTGACAGGCAGAGACCCCAGGCAGAACCAGTTGAACAGCCATCTACTGAAACTATGTACTGTAACAAAAGTAGGACAGAGTTAGATGCAGAAAAAGAAATGGAATAGACAGACTTTATCAGAATACATTTGTGCCAAAGATGAGAGAAATATTGTTGTAGCCTTCTCCCTCATTATCAAACATACAACAATTAGCTTGTTTCAGTATTTATGTGATTCACGTCACACAGTATGACCACGGCCCAGCAACTCAAATGAAGGTGTTATCTGAGATTTGTGTAGTCAGGCCAGCCACCATTCTGTGCTTACATAGAGGGATCCTGAATTTTCATTGACCACATTTGCATGTAAGACATTTGTATGAGGGTGATAATAACACACATCCACTGGTGGAGGAGAGCACTGAGTTTTTCTTTTCACTCATACAGTTAAAAGCATTTTCACAGAGGCTTATGTCGCTTCCCCTTTTGTTTGGGCATGGGGATGCACAAGTAAACAGGTTTTGCTTGCACACAGGTAGTTCCTATTAAAACGGATCAGTTTCCAGAATAACAAGTGTAACTAAAGATTTGATTTAGGTTTAAAAAAATTAAAAAGGATCTCTTAAGTTAGGGTTTTTTTTACACTGAGACAAATACTTAAATAATGACTGCACAAGATTTGAAAAATGAAGGTCAACTCATGTGTGTACAAAAAAATAATGATGTTGGAGGTAGGTGATATACTACTGTCCTGTTTTTGGATGGACGTCTAAGGGTACACATCTATTTCACCAATGAAATTGCAAGTTTGTCCATTGATGAGGTCACCATATCTATTAAAATGCCTCGTCACCAATCACATGAGAGATTGATGTGAGGGACAGGTGGGGTCTGACCATGAAAGAGGTATCTTGTAAGCAGCATACTCATTATAACCCCTCAGACATACGACCTTAATTTTTGTGGTTTTGTAACCCCCACCACTTTAATTTAATAAGGTAACTCTCAAGCACTTTTTATTTACTTATGTTTTCTAAAGTGATGCTCTGAAAAAAGTTGCACTGAGACCAAGTGAGACCAAATCACATGGGTCAGTTTTACAAGAGAAGGAAGTAGTTGTGCCCCAAAGCAAAAAGGACTTGAAGTGCAAGCATTCATTTATTGCCAAACACACAAAGCACAAGCCTCAGACACAAAAGCACAGGCCTTTATTCACGGTCCATCAGGACGCCACAAAAGGGTAATTCTCGGTCTTTAGTCTTTTTGTTTTTGTTTCTTTAAGCCTCAGTAAAGGATGACTCAAAGCTTTGTGTGACCTTTCAACCACCTTCATGTGGTTCACAGAATACCTTTGCTGCACCCATAGACTGTATATAGAATAGTATAGTATATACAGTCCATGGCTGCACCTTTTGCTTTTTTGTTTAACCTGGAAGAATGTGTTTATTCTTCTCTCTGAATTTGCTGTAAATTAACAGTCATTTATCTTTGCCTAATAACCGCAACTACCCTAGGAATGTTAGCTGTCATTCACACCGCCTGGTGATGTTATTCTCTACCTCACTATTCTTGGCACTTAAAAAGGAGAAATGTGTGGCCAGTTTCCTTTAGTTGATCAGGAAACTAAAGAACGTATTAATGTCCGTGAGAACTGGGTAGTGGGCAGGACAGGACACAACCATAGTGTGTAAAGGTGTGTGATTGTGGGTCTGTGACTGCAGTACATTGTTGATGCCTCAAAAACATTGCATGGTATTGTTAGAGCTGTTTAAAATAGTTTTGGAGTCCAGTTCACACCTCACACTGCTTGTTGATCATGTGGCAGTGAGATGTTTTTCTACTTCATAAACATGTCATCAATCAATCTGTATTTTTATAGCTCCAGTTAACAAGTGTTACCTCAAGAGGCTTAACAAAAAAGCTGATCTAGCCCATACTCTTCATGATATTTAGGAAGACCCAACATAAAGATGGGATAAGATTGAGTCTGATTTCATCCTCATCCATGGGGGTGAAACACTGAAGGATTTAGCTAGTTACAGTGGCAACAAAAAACCTTCATTTTAACAGGCAGAAACCTTGAGCAGAACCAGACTTATGTAAGAGTTGTCTACCGCTACTGCAGTGGGTTTGGAGAGGGGATAGAGGGATGCTCAATAGACTCTTATCTGCACCCACTTTTGTATGGATGCTTTTGAATCTCTAGGTTTGTTGTATATAGCTCAGCTTGATTGGCCACTTACATAAACACACAAGGATGCAACTCACCATTTTTAATGGACCTAAACAAAATAGGCATTACTGCAGTTAACAAGAAAACCAAAGTCAAACAAGCAAAAGTGTGGAATCAATACCAAAACTAACGTCAAACAAATGTGACTATCAGCATTATACTAACCAGGGCAGAAAGTGAAAGAGACAGTAATACTGTTTCCAGCTGAGTCACACATTGCTGAATAGTTGACTCTACACAGACAGGGGCTGCCAACAATCCAGCTTGTAGTCAAAACAGGCTTCCTGACATTTGATAGAACCGTACGTACTGGACTTGAGTGGGTTGAGACTCAGCCTGGACTTTGTTTTTTTTTTTTTTTGGATATACAATAGATAAATCTATATTGGTTTGCATTTATCAAAGTACCAAAGAAATGCGTTGAAGTCTTTCTTTGTAAGGTTGTTTATTGCTTAAACTGAACAAATGCCTGACGTGATTGTCATCTAAACAATATGATGAACAGAGGACAAGCTGAGCCCCCAGGTGGAGCAGCCTTTTCCCAAGACTCGTTCAAAACAATTAAAGCAAACCAATTAGTTTTCACTACAGACTGTACGGGGTAGTCCAAGCTGTTCTGGGCCACATTTGCTCAGGGGAATTTGGTGTTACATGGCACGGCCATGGTAAAAGCATGTCATAGCGTCTCCGCGTAGTTCTAAAAAATAATCTTCTCATAAAAGTATATACAGTAAGTTGCAGATGTAATGTAGTAATAGTTCTGTGACTTTTATTTGGTCAAAAGGGCATATGCATGGCTGACGGTTTGAGAAGCCTCTTAAGTTTAGGTCACTTGAACACTTCTCTCTCTCCCTCTCTCCCCAAACACACGTTCTGGCAGTGAATAGAAGAACCCAAACAACACACAACTTAATGAGAAAAGCTTTTTTGAACATCATTTAAGACAAAACAACAAAAAGGTAACTCATATCTAACTGTGGGTTTCAGTGTGTTTGTGCCCTGTATTGGGTGTGATCTTTTACTGTGATGGTAAGAAAATACTGTTATCTGTCCAAAAGTTGTAAGATGCCAAGTTAACATCGTCTGGGTGTTGAGATAAGTATGATGCACAAGCATAAAGAAAACCTTGGCCGTCTGAAATTACACCCGCTTCTTTAACCAATCATTTGATTAGCAACCAGGGGGTGAAAAAAAGTGTATATGACTTGTATTTAATTTCTAAAGTTTGCCTGCAGCTCTATTCATTTTGCTGGCGGTGGCGGGGTTTATGACCTATACTGCAACCAGTCACCAGGGAATAGAATAGAATAGAATAGAATAGTCCTTTATTGTCATTGTAACCAGTACAACGAAATTAAAAAAGTGCAGGGGTCGCTGTTCTTGCTGTGGCTTCATCCAGCAAGGATGCAAATGATGTCAATTCTATATATAGTCTAAGTAAATAACTGACAAAACTTTGCTGTGTTAGATGTAACACTAGCCCTTAATAAACCATATTCTAACAGCAGCCATCTTGTGACGTCATGTTCAGGTCAGAAAAGTCATACTGTGATGATGTATTATGTCCATGTAGATTCTCATTCATGGTTATCTTGAAGACTCCAAAAACAGGCAACTGGACTGTGTAGAGTTGAGAAACTCTGCACAGTCCAGTTGCCTATTTTTGGAGTCTTCAAGATGATGTATTATAGTGTTCAAGGTCATAAACTGAATAAACCTCAACAACCTGATCATTTGTGGTCATTTCACAGCTCCCTGATCGATAAGCAGCCACACAGACAAGAGGCAGAGATGATCAGGAGAGGGAGTCATATCTTAAGTAAAAATAAACCAAACAATTAGATAGCCCTTTAGTGAACATCATAAGAATCACTGCTCAGTCATTCTGTGCAGTTCAGGATGGGAGTCTTGTTTCAACATTGGGATGATTGCCTCAATCTAGTTGTGTATTGTTTTGTTTCTTAATCCTCTGAAATCCTAACTGCTGAAAAACAGATACAGAGGATCAATGTCAAAGACTTCAGGTTTCTACTGAAGGCAAAAAGCCCCACACCAACTACAAAGAAAAGATATTGTTACCTACTATTTGGCCCAAGTAAACATAATATTAAAATTACACCTGTGTGGTTAAAAAGTCGGAGAAAACAAGGGTTCAAGATTGGCAGAGAACCTCTACAAACATTCCTCAGAGGTTACTGTAGATCATAGAGCTCAAGGCTCACAGTGAATTTCTACCATCAAACATACAATTGAAGCTGTCATCATACAGGTCTGCTGTCTGCATCAAGAGGGAAGTTGGAAATGTCTGAGTCTTGAAGTAAACTTTGCTACCAGGTAGTTGCCGTTGCGCACACTCCTCTGGAATGAGGCAGACTCAGAGCAGGAATGTAGGGCAGACTTGGGTTAGATAAAGATTGAGGCAGGTTAGTACAGGAGGGTGTGGTAGGGCTGTGACATGAACATGAGGTGGGATACGATTGAAACAGCAGGGGTAGGCCACAGACAGTCTTTCTATCTATTTTGTGGAGTTTTCAGGACACACTAAACCAGTGGTTCTCAAGTCCAGTCCTCAAGACCCACTGTCCTGCATGTTTTGGATGTTTCCCTGCTCTAACACACCTGATTCAAATGATCAGCTCGTTATTAAGCCATTCCAGAGCTTGATAACGAGCTGATCATTTGAATCAGGTGTGGGGGGCTCGAGGACTGGACTTGAGAACCACTGCACTTAACTGTTGCTGGTACACACTTGATGCAATCAGAGTGATGGTCTGTTGTGATTGGTTGTTAGGGTTTGGGCTGAACAGTGGAAGCCAATCAACAAATTAAAGAATCAAGTGGCCTGATGAGGATAGCAGCATTTTTTTCAATGCTTTAGTGTACTGTATGTGGATGTGAAGGAGGCAAGTCAGTGGGTTGAACCAGATCTCACAGGCCCCTTAATGGTAATGGGGCCCCGAACAGCCGCATACCTAGCTAATGCGTCAGGGCCAGCTCTGCTCTTTAGTTGGTGTAAGGTTTGAAAGAGAGGCCCAATTTCTCCTGACTCTTTATCTCAAGTATGCCTCAAAGTCACAAAACAATGGATATTCATTTCCTGTCATGTAATTCAGGAGCAGCTTTTTTAAGGGAAACACTTAACAGTAAACTCTAAGGGTGGGATGAAAACTTCAAGACAGCATTTGGTGAAATTATCGTTTTTAACAGCAATCAAGGCAGTACATCAGTGTGGAGCTACATCATAATCAGTTCAGTACCAAATATCTCCATTTGCTTCACATGTGTGCTTACAGTAAAACCATATTCACTCTCACTTTAGTTATCTCTCTGTTGTTCTCCCTTTTAGCAGTGTTCCAATGTAATTTGATGTGATTAGTCATTGATTTGATGGATATTAAGCCCCTTCACATCTTGATCACACTGTCTTTGTGTGTCATTAAACAGCTTCAACATGCACATGGATTGTAGAAAATGACTGTTACTTTTAAATAATAAAAACAAAGTCACAAGTCTTCATTGCTACATATAGTGACTGAGGCATAGATAGACACAAAGGTACGAGTTCATAATAGCTACCGGCTAAAGTCAGATCATGTAAAAAGCTTCATATATCAGTAACTGTACTCCATAGCCAGCAATGGTATTTTAAAAAAGGCACATTTTTGTCGTGGTACAACTCACTTAAAATGTTTCCAGATGCCATACAGTGATTGCCCTTAATATGTGTAAATTTGAGGATTTATAACTCTAAGATGAGAGTAAATTAGGTGACTTTTACAGTGCTTACGTATTGTTCTTGCTGTTTACTTATTTTTTGAATTCATACCCTCACACTCAGAACTGAACTGACATTTACACAAGATGATTGACTTGTTAAAACGTTACAAAATGGACCTGCACTGCTTTGCATTTGGTGGCCAGTCATATAGTTAATAATTGAAGCTGTCTTAAAAGTCGAGTATAAATCTTGTCTCCTCTCCCGTCATGAATCCAATCTCATGACCTGTCTAGTCTCATGAGCTGAGTTGCTTAGTCACACCCTTAGTAAATACTAAAGGCCTGAAGCGGGTAACCTGATGACATGAAAGTAAGGGGATCTTCATGTGGAACAATTAGTAGAATAATCCTTTAGTGATTTAACTTTTCCCAAACTTGCACAAAAGAGGGTTTGGGGATCTCTCTGATATAGTATAGTAGCTAATCATTTGCACTTTGAGAAGATTATGTCAAATCTACTATTGATTTAAGGAAGAAGCTCATCAGTGCAGAGGCACATATTTACACAAAATTTCAAGTTATCAGCAGTGAACGGGCTTTAACTGTCTTAACAGAGTAGAAAATGATTACCTCCACCCCATCCTGGTTCATTTTCATGTCACCAACTGAGAAAATGTCAGCACTCCCAGATGGGTTCATTAAGCTCTGACGATGAGTGGACTGTGCATTAGGCATGGGGGTTGGGAGGCAGGGAAGGCATTATAGCCCCATTTATCACCCCCATAACTATTTATTTATTTATACAGCACTGCAAAGTGCACCTGAGCTCTTCCGCAGAGAGGCATATGCAGGAAACACAGGTCAGGATAGGAAGGGGTTAAAAATAATTCCCAAGAGCGGTGAGAAGAGGCGCATCAATGCAAGAAGGAAAACTGTTGAAAGGAGAATGGTGTGATGAATGGGGCTGCTGCTTAGCAAATACTCACAGGAAGTGGGAGACTCATACAGTAGCTGGATGGCTTGGTGGATGGCTAGCAGGGAAGAGGAGTTCCTTGGGGACTGGAAATTACTGTAGTGTTTGGCCGGTCTGGAGGTTGGTGAATGGGTAGGAAGTGAAGAGAAGACGAGAGAGGGGCTAGAAATGCTACTTAGTCAGAGTAATTATCAACTCACAGGAACGAATTAGTACAAAAAGAGTTAAAGGGTTTCTGTAGTCTTCGTAAAAGTGATTAAGGACTTCTCTACGGTGGCTGCTGAGTAGATGGAGGCCAGAGGTCTTCCTGGTTGGTGATTTCATAATTAGATCTGTTGAAGTCCCAAACGAAATTACTTACCATCTTCCTGGAGCAAACAGTCCTAGACATGGTCAAAAAGAGAATCAGTACTTTCCTAGCTGAAGAGATGGAGTTACTCTGTCTGAAGTCTCCTGGCTCTCTACAGCAACCAGACTTCATGGGGAGGAGTGAATCTCAGCTAGCAGTGAACAAAAGAAAGAACAAGGTCCACATGAGTAGTACAAGTTCAAGTAACCAAACATTTGTATTCTCAACTTGCTGCATTATAATGAACTTTTTTGAAGTGCTCTTGGGTCATATGTTTTGCATATGTCATTTCAAGCACATGAAGACATAGTTCCTGCTTTATAGTAGGATTTGCACACTTTTTTGAGTAAGGGATAGAACATGGAAAGCACACAGACATTTTCATCTAGATATTTTGATTCTCTGTGTTTATGTGGTTTGTTTTGCTGTGAAATGCTTTTTAAATGATGGTTCATTTATTATTATTTTTAACCTCTCCATCTCTGCTCTCATTTACTCTTCAGATTGGACTGATGTCTGTCACTGTGTTCCCCGTGCGTTTGCTGTTGGTGTCTTTCCTCATGCTGCTAGCATGGCCCTTCGCCTTCGCAGCATCCCTGGGACGCTCAGAATTTGTTCTTGAACCACAGTCATGGTGGAGGAGGTGCGTGTTTTCGTGTGAACTACATATTATCAGCATTTTTTTTTTATTTTTTATTTTGAAAGTGTGTTAAATTGTTACTAAGATACCTAAGATCACAGATCATAGATTATATGATAAAGAGAGCCAGACAAACATCCCTTTATCAACTTGAGACTAATATTTGTTCATTAATCATAGGTGCGGCCACTTATTCACATCCACTAATTTAATTTAATGAAGCTTTACAGCCCTATTTATTCTAATAAACATGTCTTTAAGATGTTATTGTACATGAAACAAATACAGATATGAAAAAATACACTTATTTTGGAAGACTTTTTAGCTGTAGTGTAATGATCAAAATTTGTAAAGGGGTGTCAAGTACTGAAGCTAAAGGTACCCTGGCCAGACAGCAGAGGATACAACTAGGCATGTTATTTTTACACCTCAAGAAGCTAAAACCTACATTTCACATCAGCTGTTTGTGTACCCCTCCCCAGGTTTATAGATGTGTGTCTTCGTGTCATCATGCGGGCTATGTGGTTTTGCGGGGGTTTCCACTGGATCAAGGTAAAAGGGCAACAGGCAACGCCCACTGAAGCTCCCATTATCACTGTGGCTCCTCACTCCTCTTACTTTGATGCTATCCCAGTCACCATGACCATGTGCTCCATCGTCACCAAACTGGAGAGCAGGAGCATTCCCATCTGGGGCAGTGAGTATTATACCTTTCTGTAACCACTGTAACCCACAGATTAAGCCAAGAACTCAAATTTTGATACCTAAAATTACAATCATACGGTCTTGACACAAAGTAAAACATATCTGACATACTAGCTTAAAGATTTATAATTTGAATACTATAGGGTGACCATATTCTGTCCCCAAAACGAGGACACTACTTTGTGGGGCAGAGTCGCACGTAGTAAATTTTGAGGGTTTTTCAGGTGGGGTCGAGTGTTTTTTACGCGCTTCTAACTCAGTTAGTCCACGCTACACAAACTCAAAACTTCCTTACAAAACCCCGAAAATTTGAAGGATTTTATAAATCCCCCCGGACAGCCCTCCAAAAAGAGGACATGTCTGGGTAAAAGAGGACTAATGGTCATCTTAAATTATATAAATTGGGTTGAGAAGACCTTCTAAAATAGGAACTACAGTGCCCGGAACACTCAGCGTTCAGTCATAAGAACAAAATTGAGCTATGTTTCGCTGTTCATTTATACAGCATTTGATTGATGGAAGTGACCCATGATTATTATGACTGCTCAACATGCAGCTCTCTTGCTCTGGAGATTTGGTATCCATCCCATTTCTTTTAAAATCATACAAATTCCCCATTGTCATACACCTCTTTATAGTCCTAAATGATCTTTAGATTGGTCACTATTTTAAACTTAAAGATGTTTTCATAGTAGTGCAGATGTTTGTGTCATTCCTTTTGTTCTGAAATGTACTCATGAACTTTTTCTTCCTCTCCCAGCTTTGATCAGCTACATCAGGCCAGTATTTGTGTTTCGGTCTGACCAGGATTCAAGGCGAAAAACTGTTGAAGAAATTAAGCGGAGAGCCCGATCTGGAGGCAAGTGGCCTCAGGTAACATCAGCATGATACAGCAGTAGTCACAAAAGCCAGTACTGCTCTGAAATGATTTCATACCAGTATAGTGCAATGTCTGAAACAGAGTTCACACTATGTAAGGCCATTTAACACCAATGATCAAACGCCAGAGATTTGTGTGATGTCAAACATGTGCCTCAAAATGTTTGTTCTTTTTTTCAGATCATGATATTCCCTGAGGGGACTTGCACCAACAGATCAGGTCTTATCTTATTCAAGGCTGGTATGTATTCAGTCCACTTCCTGTAGGCGTCAACAATAACCGTATTTGTGTGCTTGTGTGGGTTTACATATAAGGACGTTTTTTTTTGTCTCTTTAAATGTTCAAATTTACTTTTTTTTTGTCTCTTTAAATGTTCAAATTTACATTTTTTTTTTGTCTCTTTAAATGTTCAAATTTACATTTTTTTCTAAAGAGTATCAGATTCATAATGACATTTAAAAGTGAAACCTAATTTTCAAATTCAACACACGGGATCTCTGCGTTGGCCTATAATCACAAATAACAGCATACATGATCTAGAAAACATGTTTGTAAGGTTGGTCAGAGTTATGGTTCCGTATATTTTCAACCAGGGGTTGTTTGTGTGTCATCAGAGAGGCGATGTGTGATCACTTTGTTCTATGTTTAATCAAGTATGCCAGGAACTGTGAATGATCATTTATGAATGAACCTGTCTACATCGCTGCCAAATCCAGGTGGAGGTGTCCGTGTCAATTCATTTTCCGTCAGCCCTCTAGTTTCTCGCTTGTACTTGACATGCCAACAGGACACATAACTGCTGCGCGCAAACATTTTTGGTCTTGTTTTCAGCTCACATGTGTGTCAGAGTGTGAATGTGTGTGTGTGTGTGTGTGTGAACATGCTCTCAGCCATTGTTCCTCGCCTGTTCTGTCTAATCCCCTGTCTTCCTATTTGTAATTCTGTTATTCTTAGTTCCCACATTAGCCGCATGCTGTCCTCTTTTGGTTGTGTATGTGATTGAGTTTGGACGTGCACAACATGTGCATGTGTGTGTTTTTCCAGCATGATCTGCCTGTTGTTTGTAACCAGTCTTCTCTGGATTGGTCTCCTTTTGTTAGATCTCTTCGTTGGCTCCCACAAGGCCCAAAAATGTGCGTGTGTGATGCTGCCTGTGCATGATGTGTGCATGATGTTTTGATGTTTTTATCTTTTAAAGGTCTTTAAAGAGCTGTGGCTTTGATGGTTTTGTTCAGTGGGTGGGGACAGTGATCTCTTTTTCATCTCTTTTTTTGCCATCAGACCAATATGTGCAGCCAATGTTGATCTAGTTTCTAATTTCTCTTTGACCATTGAGGTTTGATATGATCAGTTCGCCAGTATTTTGGTCCCCTCTTAAACAAAACGGGTCTTGCTTTTGGTTGAAATGATGTTTTAACTCCTCCATGTTTATAGATCTTCTATTAGATTGAGATTGACACTGGACTGCTCTTTATGGACATATAATTGGGCGTGTTGTGGAAATATGTGTGGACAACAGTTTATAAGCTGTCACCTGTGTACCTTCAAAGCAGTTTGCCTTTGCAGAAAAGAGGACATGTGTAACAAAAAATATAAAACTGTGTGTTCATTTTCTTCATCTCTGTGGTTTCAGTTTCCTTTCAACGTGTTTTTGTTTTGGTCTTCATCAACAAAACAGAATAAATGCTGATTTTAACTATGTAAGGTACATATAAAGATTAAAGTCTATAACTGTGTTTCCTCTGGATGATGCTCAAATGTTTGCATTATACAGTTTGCAGTTTGTTGCTGTTCTTTAAGTCTTAAATATCTGAATCCAAATTTCATTACATATTCTATTCTTTACTTTGTAAAACCTAAATATTGGCTCCAGTAGGGTATTTTTTTTTACATCAACATTGTCTGTAGCTCCTATCAGCTAGACTGTCATTATCTAAGAGGCGGTACTTTACTTTTGTCATATTTTGAAAACAAATATTAAGTTAAAATGTTGAATGTCAATGAACAAAGCTTCAGACTGTGGGGTTAATGTTTGTTGAAATTATCTCTAGTTGGGTCTACAGGCGGCTCTGAATGGCTTGTTCAGTAAGTCATGAGAATTCAGTGAGATTTGATATTTATACGCTTTTGTGAGAGGACTGGAGATCACTGTCGGGGAAATGAGCTTTACTTTTATCTGAACTACTTTATGGCTCAGTCCGATACTGTCTCTGCTATGTTGGAGCCATTTGAAATTTTCACAAAAACCTGGTGTCAGAACTATAAAGTCCTGTGTCAACTAATGATATGGGCATTCGATGGTTAAAGATATCATGCAGATAAATAGTTTGTTCTTCTTCAATGGAATTGTGAATCATTTACCCTTCTTTGTCTCCTTAAGGTGCTTTCATACCTGGACTTCCAGTACAGCCTGTGGTGCTACGATATCCGAACAAACTGGTAAAATCACATTCTTTAAATCTTTATCAGTCAATCTTTTGCCCACCAGTAACCTTGAAGATAAAACACTCAACCTGACTCCATGAATACACTAAGTGCACATACCTGCACACACCTGTGATGTCATGGCTTCTCTTGTGTTGAATGACCTCATGTCCTGCCGGGATGATATTTCATCCCCCCTCTTTTCTCTCTCTCCCTCTCACACACACAGGTGTCACGTCTTTCTCGATGCACTTTTCGATGCTCTCATGAATTAGTGAAAATATGAAACAACTCTTATTATGTTATTCTCGTTCCCCTTGAAAGCTCTTGACACGGTTTTTAACTTAAAGTGACAATGTGGTAGACTGTCGGGTTATACGGCCGGGCTTCCTATGACGTCACGCCTCCTGTGTTCACATCCAATATGTTTCAGTCTTTAATATTTGGCTGTTTAGAGAAAAATATCCACCAATTAGGGATTTTTTAATGCAGCAAATTAAAATGGACACAGCTTCTAAATTTTCAAAAAAGGATAACACATACAAAGAGGTATACCTTTTAACCCTATTATTATGAATACATTGTTAACATTACAACCCACGTTTCAAAGTATGTGAAAGAAACACCTGTATGATTAACTGAAGAGTGCAGTTAAGGTCAGGTTTGTGACATCTGTTATTAGAGCAGGATTCTTGTCATTGACGGTTCAGTCCGTGCCTGCCGATGATACGATGAAGGTAAACATTGCTGTGAGGAGGAGTGTAAGCAGTTCGGTATGTTATACCTTTGCTCTTAAGATCAACTCATGTCACAGAGATCAGGATTTCCTGAAACTCTGGTTTGATGTCTTTATGTAAGCTTTAGCCAAATGTCAGAGTCAAAATGTGCAGGAATGGAGCTAGTACAGTAGCTTGGTGTTCAATGCTGATACTGCACCTCCTTACAAGATGAGCAGAAAGATTGGTTGTGTTGCCAGTGTATTTGAATAACACATTTGCATACTCTGCAAACAGCAACTTATGTGTCAAGGACACTTCCCGCTCAACCAAAGCCCAAATGTTTACACTGGATTCAAAACCAGGTGGTTTGATAATTTCCTGTTTGTTGTGCTTCTTTCTGCTAAAAGCTGTTATAGCACTGCTGGCACATGTCCAGAACAGCACCACCGGTAGATTAACCCCAATGTACACTTAATATTACCTTTTCTTTTAAAGTGTAGAAATACCTTAATTTGAAACAAACATTTGTCATGTTAAATATACAATGTAGTTTCTCAGTATCCATACAATCAATGATTGCTCTGCTAGAACATAATTAATCACCTCACCCCATACAGAAGTGGACATCTACCTTTTGACACAGGTGGATCATGGGAATAAGAAACACATTTTAAATAAAGCAAATTTTACTTTTATTTAACGTCTCCTTCCTTCCCAGACTAAAAAGATATTCAGAAATTTAAGTAAATTTTAGACAGTATATTTTACTTTCACTAGAGTAGATCACAGACTTGGAGATTTATTTCTACTAAAGAAAATCATATCATCCACTGCTATATGTTAGTACACTTTCTTGAGAGCGCTACACAAACTCTGTTGTGTAAACTCAGTGGTAACTCCTTTATACTCTGTTTAAAGTAATGATATGTCACAGAAATGAACTGCTCAGAATGAAAGTTTACAGTGATTTGATATCTGTAGTATCAATAGACACTTCAGTTGCACTAATCAGATATGGTATGATAAGACATGTGGAGTACTGTCATAATTGTAAACAACACAATGCCACAAAAAGAGAACTCATGAAACAGCATCTCATAGAAGGACAGAGCAACTGTGAAAACGCTTTAATATGTTGGGTTTTTGTTTTTAAAATCAGCCGTTTTCTCATTTCCCTCATTTTTACAGGATACTGTTTCATGGACGTGGCAAGGCCCTGGAGCGTAAGTGTTTGTCTCTTTACACACTACACCTAAACTGTGAAATACACATGTGCTTTGCTCCTTTGCAACAAACTACTGACATGTTTTCTAGTAAGATGCAACCAAGAAAACCCCCAGTTTATTCACTTCTATGTAAAGTCATGTCTCCATGACTTCATATCTTTTTATATGAACTCCTATTTCAAACATACACAAAACAAACCCTCCTCTCTCCAGGTTCAAGATCCTCTGGCTCACCCTGTGCCAACCTCACAATCCCATGGAAATAGAAGTAAGTATGCTCTAGCTCACAGAAGTCGGTTGAACATGATTTCTTTCTGTTCGCCCCGATCTTCTTTCCTGATGAAGAGAGATGTCAGGCGGTATCTAAAAAGAGGATGTCTGTTTAATGACTCTCTCCTCAGTACTTGCCGGTTTACACACCATCAGAGGAAGAGAAAGGAAACTCTGCCCTGTTTGCCAACAACGTCAGAAAGCTCATGGCCAAGTAAGTGTGTCAGCGGAATTGTATAAGAGTCTTGGATAAACACTAGATTGTCTGCACATGTTTAAATGCTTGTCTGTAACAAGGAAGTCCATGAAGGTCCTGACAGACTTCTTCTCTATGTCTTAAAAGAGTGCTGAGGCTGCCGCTCACAGACCTGTCCTTTGATGACCGTGATATCAGCCTGTCACATGGGCCCCTGCAAATATATAACCTCTGCAGCCTCCTCGAGTTCAACCAACTGGCATGTCGATTAGGGTGAGTGGGAAATGTTTAGACTAGGTAGACTGGGTACAGGAAGGATGTTCTCCCAGACTTGAAGGCATAAAGATGGATAAACACTGACACCTATAGGTGACAGTGTAGTAACACTGAAAAATAATTCACCCCAGGTTTTGTATTCTTTAAAGAGTTTTGTATGAAGTCTCCAAAGTTTTTTTTAACCCTGTGAGTACAACAATGTCAAAGACAACCAAGGGAAATTATTTTCACCTTCTTTGCTAACAAATCCAATATGTGGGCAGTTAAGTCATGAAATTATTAGTATTCTTACCAACCAATAAAAACATGCCTTACTTGATTTTAGGAAACCTTCATGTAGTCATGTATGGGAGCATCTGAGGCTCAAAACTAGATTAAGATTACCACAAGGCCTTTTAAACTAACAATTGTCGTACTAAGCAGTCAAAGATGCTGAAAATAAAGATTTCCTTGATCATAGATAGTTTTTAAAAGAGAAGCATCGTAGCTCTGTGGTCAGTACTGTCTGGCAGTAATCCTAGTGTGTAGAGTTTGTTGACACATTTGACAGGCCAGCGTTAGCGTCGTTGTGAGACATTTAGACCCTAAAAAAGTCGTAAAGTGTGTTTCTCATGAGTATCCCTTAAGACTGTTACCTGCTTTGTTCATGATCTGCGTGTAAACGTTTCTAGATTTATGTTAGAGAATGTGATGAGCTGTATTTTCATTTATGTCATGGGTGGTACACTAACCCCATAATTTCATTGTATATTCCCAGTCTGAGAGCAGAATCTACACATAAATTCCTGGATGAACAGGCCAGAAGAGCCAGAAAGTTGCAGGGAGACAGGCTGGATTTGAAGGAATTTGCCCAATTCCTCAACCTGCCAGTTACAGACACACTTACACAAGTCCACAGCCTCTTCGACAAGGTGAGCACTCAGTGATTGACTTTTTTAAGGAACTAAAACAATACATGCAAACCTCTGCTTACTAAGATCATTTTGTCTACAGCATGGAGATGGACTGATAGACATCAGACACTACATTATTGCTCTGTCTACCATTTACCGACCATCGAAGTCAATGGAGACCCTCAAGTTAGCCTTCAAGGTGAGGACATTAACCACTAAATCTTCTTAGTCCTAAATTGTAAGTCATTCAAACATGAAAAAAATGTTTTCATGCAGATGTACGAGAGTGAAGAGGATGGGCAAGTTCTCGAAGACGATTTGGCCTCCATCTTGGAAATAATGTTAGGAGTTGAAGAAGTGGAGCTTTCTGTTTTGTTTTTATCACTTGATGGACCGGACACAGGAAAGATCACATATGGTAAGATCCAGCGTAAAGTTGTCATCAATGATCTTTCATTGTTCAGATCTACAAAATGAAATGTACACATGCTATTTTTGTACATGTGAAGTATACTTGAAGCCCTCTTAAAAATGACTCTCAGCATCTGTCACTATCACTAGCTATACCAGTCTGTCTGTTGATCTAGATAGATATTATCAGGTAATAGATTTTACATATCTATGTGCATGTGTACGTACGTGTGTGTGTGTCAACGGTTTCACCATTTCAGTTTGTTAACTCAATATCACCAAGTGTTGACATTGAAAAACTGTCCCTCTTTTTTCCCCTTGTCAAGATAAACTTCGACACTTTATAGAGCAGCATCCATTCTTCATCCAGGATTACCTCGATTTTAAAAACCATCCTCGCAAATCTTGCTTCGGTAAACCTCTGAGCTGTAACGGTGAGAGCCACAACAAAGACGTCTGAAGAATACACTCTGAGAATCTTCAGATCTCCTAAGCATAACAGATCTCCAATTCAGGTCGCCCTCTACCTCTGGTACCTTCAGGTGCAAATTTAGTGTAACTCACATGATAAGAAAACCCAAATCAATAAATTCTGTTTTTTTTTCTCTTTTACCCATATCATAGTATGTGTTAAAAAGAAAATTTCTTCTGTTCTGTAAATGTATTTTTTATTTTTGTACTATTCAACTCATCAAAACAAGATACTTAAGACATTCTGTAGTATTTTTATTTTATGTTGAGGGTAAGAACTGATGTTGCTCACACAAGGACTCTGTGCCCTATTCTGCTGCTCTTTATTCAAACACTTAACTTACAACCAAAAGAAGCTGTCAGAGGTTCGGACAAACATATCAAATGCTTGGAATGTTACTAAACCAGACTGTGAAAGAAATACCGGGTAAAGCACCAAAAGGCCTTAGCATCCAAAGAGATTTTTCATTTATTCAAGCAGCTGTTTCATTGCCAAAGATACCAACAACAGGAGCTCTTGAACTAGTTTAATGACTAAATGACTTCTTGAGTGTCGGCTTAAGACTTTAGCAAAATATTCAGTTTTTTTTTTTATTTCATTAAACTGCAAAAATGTTATTTCTTATTCACTAAATTATAATGTTTCTTTTATTTCCTAAAATATATTTTATTCACCATCAGGGAAAATCTTTATAAAATAGTCTAGCTTTGAGAATAAATGTTAAGGAGGGAAATCTTGTCTTTGACTCTGACAGATATTTCAAATGTCCTTTGGTTTCTTACTCTGTAAGTTTTCCATGCGGGTCAAAATATTGATCTCTGATGATGAACTGGCAGATTTTTGTACTTTGTGACAACAATGATCCTGTAAAGTTTTATTTGGAAACTAATTGGATTTTAAGTATGTCATTGCTTTTATTTTACAAATAAACATTTTCCAGATTTCTTGCATTGTCACCAATGTTTTTGTCCACCAGGTAGGGCTTTGCTTTAACTCATTTGGCTTTGGGTTACATGACTTTTTTATAGTCCCTGTGATATGTTCAGTTCTTTCATGAATCAATTTAAAGGACCTGTTTTTGTTTTTTTTTTTTTTGTTGTTTTTTTGTTTGTTTTGTTTGTTTGTTTGTTTTTAGCTTTGTATTATTACTAAATGTCTAATTTCTCATCATGTAAAAGTAAAGAGCGTCAGTACAGGCCTGCCTTCAGGGCCTGAGGAAGAAGGCTCTGATGATTCTCCCTTGAAGATAGTGGCTGCAGCACAGGAGGACTGGATTCTATTCACAGTATTTAGGGATCTATCTCCAGCAGTGTGTGTGTTTCCTCTTCAGGAAGTTGTACGTATCGACCTCAGTGGTTCTCTGCCTGTTGCTCACTGTCTTCTTCCTCTTCCCTTCGATGTTTCCTACGCCGGGGTGAGGTCTGTTTTTGTAAGCTGTGACTAAGATAAACGCAGCATATATCTCAACACCACAGTGAGATTTTTCTCCGCAGCAGTCCTATTATACCATAGTTAGGAGATTTAAAAGGCCCTAGTTGGACAGATAAAGCTTGTGTGTAGTTTTTCTCGGGGTTTTGTGAAACACAAATGCGTGAAATTGTGTGTCAGCAATAAAAAAAATTTAATATATGTAAAGAAAGGGGGAAAAATGAGATATATGTAATAATCAAAAAAGGATAAATTAAAGTGAAAAATAAGGGAAAAAATCACAAAATGAAAAGTCAAAAATAAAATTCCGTAGAAAGATAAGACCGAATAGACAGTAATATCAAAAAAATAAAACTGTTTTTTTTTTTGTTTGTTTGTTTTTGTTTTTGTTTAATGTCTGTATTTCACTGCTGAAGACATTTTAAACATCTTTTTTTAATCAAAGAAAAGTTGGATGCATCCCAGTTCAGTCAAGTAATGTCTCTGCTGCCCTCTTCTGGCCAAGTGTTTACCAGGCAAAGAGTCGCTGAAAGGTTGGTGTGTTGTTAATAAACTGTGTTTCCTTTTTTATAAGTTTGTCCAAGTAAAAATACAGTTGAAGTGCTCAGTCGTCTTGAATGACACATACTTAGATTTAGACACTGGTGCTGTATTTGTGTATAAATGCGAAAAACCTCCTCAGATGTTTGTAGTTCTTGCAGTTGTCCAGCAGGGGGAGCACAACACTTTGCTGCAAGTGGCATCTTTGTGCTCTTCTGACTCCTCAAACGAGTAAAGAGGAACTGTGTTACAGATGACTTGATTATCTGTGAATACAGTTTAATACCCACTATTTACCCCCTATTTCAATGCCAGTTTTCCCTCCAGAAAACTCTGAACATCACCAACAACAACTATTACTCAATGGAGGTGGCCAACATCACAGCCCAGGTCCAGTTTGTGAGGCCTTTAATTGAAAAATCTCCACCACCACTGCCATCAGTCCTCTGGATATGAAACAGGTACACAACCATAGACTGGCACAGACCTTCTGCTAAACTCAGACTCTGTGCTGATGTCTCCATTTCTGTTTGCAGATTGATTATATGGTCCCACCAGATTAGATGAGCTACATGTAGTGAGCAACATCAGTACATAACAAAGCTGTTTTTTATTGTCAATGTGAAGTTAACAGATGTGAGGTGATTCCTCCTGCTTTTTATTGACAGCTGTTCTCTCATTGACTATGACTGTCAACATCAGGTGACATACTGGAAATTCCATTTAAAGCTCAGTCTCACCAGCAAAACCAAGCAGCTCTTTCAGTCATTGGATTTGCCCTGCAGTCCATCTTTGAGAAATGCTTTTGCACTGCCTCATTTAAAAAAAAATAAGCTTCATTTTCATCTCTTTAGGGCTGCAAACCCATCAACTCACCTCACCACAAAGTTTTCTGATATTTTCTTTAAATTAATGAAGAAAAAAAAACATTCACATTACCAGCATTTTTCAAGTTATAGCGACCACACTATTCTGCTGCACAGTATCTCTGATTTATTGATTACTTATTGTGTGACTCGTATTAGAAACACTACAGTCATGACTGATCAGAAAACCGCTAAAGCTCAGATAGCATTGGGTCAATTTCCTTTTGTTATTTTTTAAAGTTTAAATATTGAAGTATATTATTAGTGTTTTGGCACTCATACATAGAGAAGCTCTGATTTCCTAACATTCCCTGAATGCATCGTTATATTCTGCTGTCTCTTTCCTGCCGAGAAAAGTTTATCTTTACTAGTTTTTTGCATGTTGTTGCTTTGCATATTTCATTCACTAATCACTGCTGACTTCTCCTCAATGTGGAGGAATTGAAACAAATATTTTAAGCAATATTTTACTTGAATTATCCTGTTGCAGGAACTCTTTAAAGTTATTTGTATTTTCATCTGATCATAAATCATCCAGAGGTTGTGATTTTGTATGATTTATGTTTCCACGCTGTAAATGATTAAGACATGAAACAAAATCTTCCTACAAACTTTGATAGACTTTAGCAGAACGTTTGCACTCAGTGAGATTGACAGAAAAGCACATTTATAATCTGTTACATGATTTTGTTTCTAACATGCATCCTGGCTGCCGGTTAAAATATCAACATTAACATTTAAAAAAGCTTTTTTAGCATCCTTCCTCTTTGTCATTAAACATGTTTGCTCAGTGACTAAGTGTTGCAGAAGGATAAATAAAGTTTAAATTAAGGTTAACTGTGGTGTGATTTTGTGTATTCATGTGTATATTTTAGTGGATGTGTCTGGAAAAGTTGCTTATTGATATTTTGAAATGTAGTACCCAGTTTGGCCACAGGAGGCAGAGACTACATAATCAACCTGGCTTGATCTAAAACTGCACTTTTCATACAATAATAATGATAAGATGATTTACAAAGTTCTTAAACAACTCAGAAAAATAAAACAGCAAAAAGAAACTCATTAAAAATTCACAGAAACAACAACCCAGAGGAGACATGTTAAGAAACCAAGAGCATCCTATAAGGCTGCTTTAAAAACGAAAAATATAGATATTTGAAGCTGCAGAAACCCAAATAAATGTTTCACTGATTGTTAAATAAAGTGACTCGGTTGCTGTAACATTTGTGTACAAACATCCAAACACACAAAATATTTGGTTCATTGAGAAATTCCTCAGACTCTTTTGATCAATTATTCAATGTAAAATGATTGTGTAACTCTTTTTCTGTTTGGCAATCGTCTCTGAATCCACAGGGATGTCAAAGTGAAACAGAGTATCAGAGAAGTGTGTTAGTCAGAGTCCTCTGCTTCCTCATGTGGTTGATCATGAGTCTGGATCAGAGTTTAAACAGATAAAACCGTCTGTTGTGAAAGAGTTCTGAGGTTTTAATGACTATGAATCATGTGATGGGAACACCAACAAAAGTCACATTAGGTATATATATAGATAGATGAATTTTCTTAAAGGGACCCATTTATTTAAACATGATGATCTTACTGCATTAACATTATCAGAGAGGGGACAGTAACACCTCATATTTACTGGTTTGTTTTTTGTAAGTTGACCCCAGATAGTAGCTGATTTGCAGAATTATTTTTACTTCTACTCTGTCTTATACTTTTAAAATAAAATATACATAAATTTCACATTTTTAATTTCATTACCAGTAAAAATGAACTTCTATGGACATTTAAATTTTCTGAGCTGGATCAGTTCCTTTAAAAACTTTAGATTATGTTTTTATAATCATGTGATTCTATTTTCTTGACCCACAAATGCTGAAAAAAAAACAGTTTCCAGAACCAGAAGTACTGTTTTTTTTGTGTGTGTCTGTGTGCTTTTTTAATGCAAACAAGTGCAGTTTCTTTTTCTGTTTCTCTCGGCTGTTATGGTCTCATACCTGCACCCCTGACCTTCCAGAGTCATGTATGGTCAGAGAGAGTGGAATAGTTCTCTTAGTCACTTTATGGATAGTGGATTTTTTGATAAATGGTTCAGGTTCTTTAAAATGTGAAATGTCCAATGTCTATGTTATGCAATAGTTAGAGTTGTTTTACATTTATTGTGTAGGACTTAATCTGATATCATTGTTGGATGATTCTGATTCCCCAGACTGTCCTGAAAAAAGATGTTTATCACCATGTTTTGCTCTACTTAAGTGAGCTTATGCATTTCTTTTGTGCACACTAACACCAGGTGCAAAAGACTTTTTGGAAAAGCTTAGACTTCAGAAGTCTCCTGACATTGATGTAAACGGCTCCATCTTTACGAAAAGTTGCTCTGCCTGCAGCCGCCAACAAAGATGGTACCACAGCCTGCTCAGGTTTTTACCACCAAGACTGGAGACAGCATCACCTGCTGGCCAGGGCTCTCAGGCGGCTCTGTTTTCTGACCCTAAGGATCCAGATATCCTGACCAAAACAGGACTACAGATGAGGTAAATATTGGACTAACATCCATCACATGCACATCATGTGTCGCTCTGTGTGTATGGACATGTAAATACTGACTATTTGCTGAGGTGTTAGCTGTTAGCCGAGTGGCTATTTACCCTGTGAATATTTTTAGACTGTTGTCAATGTTGCTGCTCCAATGTTGCTCAAAACAGTTTATTGATGCAGCTTTAATCAATGCATACATGTCTGACTCTGCTGTGACCGCATTTCTGTGTAGATATAGAGAAAGATAAAACATGCAGCCAACACTTTAACACTTGTTTAAAATGTGTCTTTTTTTATTGAATTTATGTGTTTTTTTCCTTAATGCATGAAAATTAAAGGTTTCTGAGTGTGTGTGCATGTTAACTGAAAGGTTTCATTCATGCTTGTGTGTTTAAGGATGCTAGTGTGTATGTGTGGGTGTGTGTTTGCAGCAGCGAGTGGACACACCCACCATGTGCATGTGTGCGTGTGCAGAAGGGCTGTGCTATATGAAAGCAGAAGTGGAAAATCAGCTGCACACAGACTCACTCAGTCTCTCAGTGCATGAGGAACAGAGCGTCAGTGTGTTTCTGCTCTCAGCCGTCACATCTTCCTCTCATCATCCCCACTATCATCATCTTCTCTCAGGGCCTCAAAGCAACATCAGCAGGAGCGTGAAAATGGTCCATCACAAAGAGTTCAACAACGCAGGAAAAGCAGCCGGTCTGCAGATCTGGAGGATTGAGAACTTGGAGATGGTTCCTGTCCTGGAGAGTTTGCACGGGAGCTTTTACACTGGAGACGCTTATGTGATCCTGAGCACGGTCAAACAGAGAGACAGCTTCTTCTACCACCTTCACTACTGGCTCGGTAAGACAGCACTGATCTGAGTCTCCCCTCCCCTTTTTTACTGCCCTGTTATAAAGAAAAGTCAGATTACCGCAGACACAAACATCCAGATTAATGAAGTCGTCAGGAAAGAAAAATCCCTCTGTCTGCTTACAAGAAGTCCGAGAGATTACTGTGCTTTGAAAGAGATTACGGTCATGTTCAAAACAAATCATGGTTGAGTATTAAGGCCAGACATGTAAAAAATTCAAATAGAAAATTTGCATTTGAAGAATGATGCAGAAGTTTCAGTATGAGGGGGTTAATGGATAACTGAGACAGGAGAGGTTTTATGACACTAATTTCCAAAGACGCTTGGTTTTTACTTTCAGGATAAATTAAAATTGTCTTTCTGCTGCAAAGAAAAATAAATGTTGCAACTTTTATTTTAGTCTTTCAGTTATGTGCATGAAGCTCTAACTCTTTATTTCTCCCTGTATGTTACAGTTTGCTGGCCTGAATTATCCCCCTAAATACTCTTATATGTATCAGTGGCATGTCTTTATTTATAAGGCAGTTTCATATTTTAAGACTTGTTTTACTGCCTTGACACCAAAAATGTGTTTTGCAACAGAAATAAAAGAGTTTGTAGTCCCAGTATCGACCGAAAAAACAGTCTGTATGGAGAGCAAAAGCAGGAGGAACACAATCATCCATCATGACTTCCCTGCTCTCATTAGCTGTACTCTTAAAACAGATATCTGCATGAAGGTCAGCTAACAGTCTGTTCTAGATCAGACATTTACACTGAGATACTAATCTGACTGATAAGTGTTAAGATTTATAGACTTGAACAGATGAACAGTAAACCAGAGTGATGCCTATTTGAGAGACTGTTTACAGAGAAACTGAGACTCTCCACAGACAGTGTCTTTTTTCTCACGCCTTGATAATCTTAAGAAATGAGCAGCGTAAGGATGTTTTAATTGAAGCGTAATCAGGAAGTGAAGACAGAGAAGTGGTGAAGAAAAAGTTCATTAGTCAGAGATTTTTTATCACTTTGGATTTTTAACAGACTCACAGCTTCCTCAGTAATGTGACAGATGAGCAAAGATAACGTGACTTAATGATGCTTTAGTCTAACCACAGGAAGTGGATGGTTTTTTAATAGATTGATTAGAATAAAACAGACTGTGAGACTCAGACAGAATATTGAAAGTTCCTTTTTCGTTATCACACACAGTCTTGCGTCATTATTACGTTACTGCAACGTTTGACTGGATTCAACATCTGGACTTAATTCTCCACATTTCATCAGCTTTTCTTTTAACCTGGGCTATCTTAAATGTAAATGTTTTAAAGCCGATTTATCGCCAAATTTCAATAAGTTAACCACTATTACTCTATAATATTCCATTAGTTTGAATTTTTAGCAAATTCATATCCAGAATGGAGACATATTCTTAGTTTGTTGCTCCTCAGGGTGAAGTCTTAGCTTTTGCTGGTGCAGCACCAACAAATACAGACTTTCTTTTATCCAATCAGCTGATGGCCTTTTAAACAAATTGTGACCACTGTGATCAATAGTCACATCAATCAGTGGTGAGAGTCTAATGAATGTATGGATGTTTGGCTGTGTTGTGTGTGTGGTAATGTTGCATCCGTGGAGACTTCTGTCTGCACAGCAAATACTCCAATCTACTCTAACACTCTACTCTAATGAACTCCACTGTGATCTACTGTACCCTACTCTCCTCCACTGTAATCTATAGTAATCTAATATACTCTACTTTACTGTAATCTACTGTACCCTACTCTTCAAAACTGTAATCTATGGTAATCTAATATACTCTACTGTAATCTAATGTACCCTACTCTTCTCTACTGTAATCTATAGTAATTTAATATACTCTACTTTACTGTAATCTGATGTACTCTACTTTACAGTAAAATACTGTGATCTGCCATACCCTACTCTTCTCTACTGTAATCTATAGTAATCTATTATAATCTACTTTACTGTAATCTACTGTAATCTACTGTACCCTACTCTTCTCTAATGTGATCTATAGTAATCTAATATACTCTACTTTACTGTAATCTACTGTAATCTACCATACCCTACTCTTCTCTACTGTAATCTATAGTAATCAAATATACTCTACTTTACTGTAATCTGATATACTCTACTTTACTGTAATCTGATATACTCTACTTTACTGTAATCTACTGTAATCTACCATACCCTACTCTTCTCTACTGTAATCTACAGTAATCTAATATACTCTACTTTACTGTAATCTGATATACTCTACTTAACTGTAATCTACTGTAATCTACTCTAACCTACTCTTTTGTACTTTAATCTATAGTAATCTAATATACTCTACTTTACTGTAATCTACCTTTATGTACTCCACTGTAATGTACTCTGCTCTACTCTACCCTACTCTCCTGTACTTTATTCTGCTTTACTCTACTGTAATCTAACCTACTCTGCTTTACTATTGTTTTCTCTAGTCTAATCTAGTCTAAACAGATTACTTTTGACTTTTCAGATGAGCCTTGAGCGTTTTTAAAGGAAAAAGTGCCGTCCAAAAGCGCCTCGGTGTTGTTGGCAGTGAGATGAGGCTGCGGCACGTTAAAGTCAGACTAATTTATGTATGTGTGTTTGGCAGCGGCGGAGCCTGTTAGCTGAGATTTAGAGCAATAACTCTGAGGGCAATATCTAATCTGGTAGAGCAATAAGGAAAGCAGTGCACATCTCCCATGCAGTCAAATTTATAGCAGCAGAATGTTATCAATTTTATCAATACTGACGTGTCATGGTCTAATTATAGAATCGAAGGTCATTGAAACTCACACACTCTTATTTATCAAGGTAGTTTGAACCTGTTGAGACACATAAGGTAATCAAAAGGTTATAAATTACTCACTTACTTGTTCCAGTAAGTCCTACCAGCTGCCTGCAACAGTGAAGCCACACAGTACGCTGAATTAATGATTAACAGGCTTGTAGTTTTTATTCATGCAAATAAACCTCAGTGGTGCAAACACCTTCTGAGGATTAAAGGATTAGACACAGTAAAAACGATGACATAATTGTAGCTGCACATGCAGTCAAAATCACAACACAGATGATTTATCTCAAAGATGATTTCAAAATGACTGAGGAAGTTATTCCTTGTTTAATCCTGAGGCGCCCTAAAGTGACCTGCGCAGAGTTGTAAATCTACACCTCTGGTTATCTCCGGTACGATAAGGATCAGACTTAAATCATTCCCTCTTTCATCTCTAAGTTTACGGTAAAAAGAATTTGGATTGTGTGACGTGAGTTCCTTTGTGCTGCAACAATGCTAAAAGTTCAAAATGATCTTAGATATTCTGAGATGATTTCAACATTTGGACTTGAAATCTATTTTTTTTCACATTCCTGTTCTGCAATTTGAGTGAAAATTTTCTCAAAGCAGTAAATCTTAAAATGTAAAGCAGAAAAGAAAGTTCTATACTTCTCTTTTCCTTCTGACTTACTGTTAAACATCTTTGTAGATTGACTGAGGGTAATGAGGGTATGATGAAATTATAAGTTTTAGCAGGAAGTGATGGAGATAAGTCCTTCAGTTTCAGAGAACTTAATCACATTAGATCGAAAGAAACACTCCCGGATACAGCCGCGTTAAGTAAAGACAGTAACTGCTAAAATAACCATCCTCAAGCCACTGTGCAGGAGTGAAGCTGCAGGAATCAGGGAGCGTTAACACCCGCTGATTAAATTACAACAACTTCTTCCACGTTTGTGGTTTTCAGCAGCTCGGTGTCAGAGCAGGAGTGGTTTTTTATATTGACTTTTCCAGTTTGACGACTCGTCCTCAGAGTGATTCTTGGCATCCAGAAAGTCAGTCAGTGACAACAAACGGAAGATGATCCTCTGAGCTATGTTCACAGAGCGTCCACCTTGAAATATTGACTCTCTGACCGACCTGAGAGAAAGAGTGTGTTTGTACTTTCAGTGAAACCACAAGTGCACACACAGATACACACAGCGCTTTGTTACTGTAAGTGGTTTGTAAATACTCAAAAACTTGTATACGTCACAAAGATGGAGTGAGACGTTTACAGGAGTCTGGACTAAACTCTAACCAGGTAGGAAGGACTAAAAAAAGCTGCTTTATTTGAGTGTTTTTGCAGAAGATGATTATGCATTTGAAGATTTGTTCATCTGAGTGATCAAACTTCAACACTTGACCATCTCAGGGAGGCAGAGTTCAGGTTTATATTTGTATTTAAATACAAATATTAAAATGAACGTGGGGAAAAAATCAACAAGCAAAGCCAGCCCAGTCTTACCTCAGGCTAGAATAAACACAGAGTATGTCTGAAAGAAAAAAGGTGACATAACAATGTGTCAGTTTACCTTCTCGCTGCAGAGACAATCTGCTTCTTCAAACTGGTTCTTTCGGTGCTGCAGGCAAATCATTCAGCAAGAGACTAATGAACGTCTGTAAACTGCACAAATATTAGAAAACACATTTGGACTGCATATCAAAACACTCTGAATATGTAATCAATTATTTTAATTAGAAAGAGTCATAAGATGGTTACACACAACTTTTCATGACACACTCATCTTCTCCAGGCTGGATTATCACAGCTCTCTCTTAACCAGAAATCTCTCTCACACCTCAAACCTCTGTCAAGAAAGCAGCAGCTCGGCTTCTCGCTGGTTTTGAAAGACCACATCAATCACCCTGATCTGGTCACCTTTAGACCTACTTTAGGTCCGGCTCTCAGCTACATATCTGAAATGTCAACTCTTAAGAGACACCCTGCAGCCTAAGGTCCTAAAGTGGGAACCTCCTGGTAGTTCCAAAGTGAAAGCTTAAAATTAAAGGTGATTTTTTTGGGTTTTTATTAGGGCCCTTTGACTTTAAAATGATCTTGATGAGCCAAGACTCAGATTTTCTAAATTCCAACTTCCATAGACAACTCCTCTCTAAAAAGAGACATTTGTACCTGCTAAAAACTGTCTGCAGCTGTGATACATTTATGAAAACTGTTAGCATATTAGTTAATTTTACAGTAAAACACCGAGCTGGATACTTGTGGGGACCAAAATCCAGAGGAACAGGGAGTTTAGAGGGGTACTGAGGAGCTGCATGAAGTCTCTTTTGTGCAGAAAATACAGTAAATTTCAGCTCTTCTCTGTGTAAAACATAATTTTATAAAACATGAGGTCATCCTCTTCTCTGATCTCAGCAGAATATCACACCCACTCCCCTGGGTCTGATAATAAAACAAGAGACATTGAGTAAGAATCACTAAATCCTTAAAATCTGCCAAACATCAAGTTTATTCCATCTTGTTCATGCAGTTATTGAGGAATAGCAAGTTTGTCAGGTTTTTTGGGGGTTGCAGTTGTTCCATTTATGGGTTTGTGTGCAAGTTGCACTCTGACTTCTCAGGCATTGTTTTATAACATCAATATAATAAATAAAACCTCAGAGTAAAGCATTTATTCCTTTGTTTACCGTTAAATGGTTTCCTTGCATGGCTATACAGTAGTACGGATTAGTAACCTTTTCATCTCAGGGTAAACCGGATAATCTTTGCTCCTGTAACAGACGAGTTTGAGCCGTCTGTTATCTTTATCTTTCTGTTGTTCAGACATTTGTAGTTGATGTGATGACAGTGTGACGGTTTGGTTGGTGTCAGCAGCGTCAGCACAAACTCAGATTCTGCTTTTGCACAAACTGGCCGTTTCATTGAGTGTTTTCTCATGTTGTGGTCAAGAGTGATAGGAAGGACGAGCAGGATGTCCATTTGTATGTCTGATGGTAAATGATTCATGCTGGGGGGGTTCAAACATCTTAGTGGTATTGACTTTCCACTTAAAGTGAGAAAATGGAGTTTCAGTTCTGCAGGAAGGAAGTACGCCGACTGATTCACATTAACACATAAACAGTGTGGGTCATAAAGAGGCGTTATTATCATAAATAAGGGTTAGACTGAGTTTGTGGTGAAAGCAGCACATGGAGCAATCTGAGTGAAAATCTGCTCACCGTATAATTGCAATAAACATTATCACCCTGTTATTTCCCCAGTGAGCCCCGAAGTACTTTCTCAGTCACGGTTTCTGCAACCAGACGTGATCAAGTCTCATCATTCTTTCCTCTTCTTCTCTGAGGACTCTCTCACACATAACAGCGGGCACACAGCTCATCTAAAATTAATGATATCTTCCTGATTATGAGTCAAACATGGACAGAGGGGCTAGAAAACAGCCTGTACAAAACGTCTTGCAAAACACACCTGCATTCCACCTGTTATCTTAACATTTGAGGATGTCAAAGATGATAGTTTGACCGTTTCAGAATAATGTTCCTGAGTGTCAAATGTGAAAAACTGAGTGGATTTAATCATCTACAGTACATCATATCATATGATGGCCTTCATAATTCAGTAAGACAACAATAAACCACATTCTGTAGGGATCACAACAACATGGCTCTGTAGTAGAAGAGTCCGGATGATAAACTGGCCTGCCTGCAGTCCTGACTTGTCCCCCTTTGAAAACATTCAGAGCATCATGACACCAAAAACAGGATACAGGAGACCCTGGACTGTTAGGCAACTGAAATTCTCTATCAGGCAAAAATGGGACAACATTTGACTTTCAGACTCCAGAACCTGGTCTGCTGGGTTCACTAAGGTTTTACAGAAGGTTGTTCTGTGAGGTATCTGGTAGTAGCAGGAAACTAGTGCATGTTTTAAACGGTTTGGAGCGTTTGGACTGGGACTGGAAAGGGAATTTCCTGTGTCCTTACATCCAGCTCACACAGTAAGCTCATGCTCAGCCATGGAAAACAACTTATTAAGGTTTATTTATTTTTGTTTAACTTTCCCTTTTAGTCACACTTAAATACTGTCAGCTTATTTTCAATGAATCCATGACTAATGTTTCTTTCCTTTTATTCATGACCCATTACGTCTCCTTTTCCTCAGTTTCATCCTGCCAAAAACACTCAAGATTCCCCCAAGTTATAGGCTGCAAGAAGAAATACATCTTCTGGGACAAAAATACAAGCAGATTCTGTTAAAGCGGGAACATCATGTCAAAAAGATGTTTGTTTTTGTTCTTTAAAGGGAAGGAGTGCAGCCAGGATGAGAGCACAGCGGCGGCCATTTTTACCGTTCAGTTGGATGACCACCTCGGAGGGAAGCCGGTCCAGTACAGAGAACTGCAGGGGGTGGAGTCCACGGCCTTCACTAGCTACTTCAAGGGAGGAATCACATACAAAGTACGGGTCCAAAAACACTGAAAACTTGACTTATAGGACACATAAACACTTACAATTAACATTAACGTTTAGGTATTTCCCAAAAAACTCAAGACACTTTGGTGGCCAACCAATTGTACGTCAGCCTACCCACATACAGCGTATTTGCTGACTATTCCAACAGTTTCTTTTGTTTTATTTACCATGATAAAGTAAACACTATTTAAGCGTTTTCCACAAACATAAGTCACTTGGTTGACTATCCAAGTGTATCTTAACCTTCCCAAGTATATTTGCCAACCATTTCTGTAATATCTAATCCATGAACGAAAAAGTTTGCTTTTGCTCCTTGTTCACCTCTGATAAACACTCACAAGCACCATTTATATTTCCCACCCCACCACCTGAAGTCACCTCTCCTGCTCCTCTCCCTGCTCTCCTCTCTTCTTCTTCTCCTCCTGCTCCTCTCTGTGCTTTAATCTCGACACATTCAAAGTCTTCCAGAAGACTTATTTACCTTTCAACTCCTCCAACCACATGCTTGTTTGTTTTACTTTAACCTTGAATCCCGTGTTAGTTTGTAACTGGACCACAGGAAATAGTGACTCACGGTTCAGGAGAAAAGTCTGGAGTAAACAGACGGATGAATGAAGAACCTCACAGTGTTTCTCTCCTCAGACAGGGGGCGTGGCCTCAGGTTTCCATCATGTGGTCACCAATGACCTCTCAGCGCAGAGACTCCTGCACATCAAAGGCCGACGGGTTGTCAGGGCGACACAGGTCCCCCTCTCCTGGTCCAGCTTCAACAGCGGTGACTGCTTCATCGTGGACCTGGGAGACGTAAGAACTCCAGGTTTTGATGTTTGCAGAAGGAGGCTGATTAATCCGGATCAAACCAGATCAAACTGGATCATCTGTGTTTATATGTAATTCTGATTCTCTGTGTCTACTGTAGAAAATCTATCAGTGGTGTGGATCCAAGTGCAACAAGTTTGAGCGCCTGAAGGCAGCACAGGTGGCCCGAGGTATCCGTGACAACGAGAGGAACGCCCGTGCAGAGCTGGTGGTTGTAGAAGAAGGACAAGAAGTACCAGCGTTAATTAAAGTGAGTTATTTCACACTCAGAGAGTTTCTTTGTTTATTATGATGAGTGTGACTCAGACCAGAAACACAGAAATGTACATATGAAAAAATACAAGCCATAACTTCAATTAATGATGGATGCAACTACATTCAAACGTCTCAGGAGAGACAGCTTCAGAGTCCTGTCAGATTCAGTTTGCTTTTATTACTTTTTAAAAATTGCTCTTACACATCAAGAAATATGCAGCACTATGGGGAGCAGTTATTCTGAGGAAATGTTGATTACTTATTGACATCCAGGGATTTCTGGTTAATGCAGCAGCTTTTGCACTGTTCAGCAGTCCGAGTTTTGTTGCCTCCTCCTATGAAAGTGTTGTTCCTGTGTTGTTGAAGCGTGACTGCCATGATCAGCTACCATGAAGACAAGTTGTGATCTCTGAAAGAAAGTTGTTTGTTACTTTGAAGTTGACAGTCTCTGAGTTGAAACCACTTCCTCCAAGACTTGATGATATAAATGTCCTTCACTGTTTCGGTAACCTCAAAATTTGAGTGATGCAAGGATCGTTTTTCTTTTCTCCTGCTCATTTTTGTTATTCTATTTTATCACTACTATTATTACCATCATGATTTTATTATTTTATCATAATTATTAATATTGTTTTATATTTACTACTTCTGCTTTCAACCCCCCTTTTTTGTTGCATTTTCTTTTTCTTACCTACTTTATGTTTTTATTTTGGTCTTATTGTATGTTGGTTCTTGTATTGTCGGCCTTCAATTCTGAGGCCTTTTTTGTTTTTAATTGTTTTTATTTCCATGTGCTGACGTTCTAATAATAATAATAATAATAATAGATTTTATTTTTAAAGCACTTTACATTTGAAAACAAATCTCAAAGTGCACAACGAAAACAGAAAAAAAAACAATAACAGTAAAATCAAGCAACAGGGCAAAACAATTAAAAAAAAAGTTAAAGTCAGATAAAATTAGTCCGGGTAGGCTTTCAGAAAAGGAAGGTGCTTTATGACCACTTGTCAAAGCACTTTGTAAACCTCTTTTTCTAAAAGTGCTATGAAAATAAAGTTATTATTATTTTTATACTATTATTAATGTCTTTTAAGTTTAAAATGTTGATACAATTTTTTTAATCTCTGAAGATGCGCCAACTGCATCCAGCTTCAGCTCTGTTAACAGAGGTATAAAAGTGGTGATGATCTACTCATGAGCATAATATCTCCAACAGATATGAAACTCACACATCCAGTCTGATTATTTTTCCAACACCACAGAGTTTCATCATACAGCTTTGGTTGACCACAGTATGCTGTTTTTCCGCTGCAGTGTTTCCCTCTGGGGGTCTGTGGTTTACCTTGTCAGTCTGAATGATTTCATGGATGCATTAAGGATATGGCATTTTAATATTTTATACTAACAGGTTCTTGGAGAGAAGCCAGAGTTGTCACAGGGAGATGATGATGACGATACAGAGGCCGACGTGTCCAACAGAAAAATGGCCAAACTATACATGGTGCAGTATTCATACATATGCGCAAATACTCTGTGTTTTCATATAACTGAGGTAACAGATAAATTGACCTAACTCATCCTACACACAGGTTTCTGATGCATCAGGATCCATGAAGGTGACGGTGGTGAAGGAGGAGAATCCTTTCCTCCAGACCGACCTGATCTCAGATGAGTGCTTCATCCTGGATCATGGGAAAAACAAGATAATCTTTGTGTGGAAAGGTAATCAGAAAGCTGCAGCCGACACTTTCGGGATCTATTTTTGTGGTTTTATTGTGTGAGTCCCTGTGCAGCAGGTTGTGTGAGTTTGTCAGGGCAACATCAGTCTGTTCTTATTTATGACCAACAGGGCGCAACGCCAACCCCAGCGAGAGGAAAGAGGCCATGAAAACAGCCGAGGGCTTCATCAAACAGATGGGTTACCCTGCAAACACACAGGTTTCTCTCTTTGTTTTCAGGAGTATTACACGTTAAACAAGGACTTCACTCAAGTCCCTCTGTGAGCTGATGTTTCTGTTGGTCCTGCAGATCCAGGTCTTGCCTGAAGGGGGAGAGACACCCATGTTTAAGCAATTCTTCGTGAGCTGGAGGGAGCGGGACCAGAGCGATGGTTTCGGGAAGGTGTTTGTCACAGAGAGAGTCGCCAGGATCCAGCAGGTGGAGTTTGATGCTTCAAAGCTGCACGAGTCTCATCAGATGGCGGCTCAGTACAACATGGTGGACGACGGGAGCGGAGACACACAGGTGATGGAGTATAAAAGCACAGTCTGCATATTTGATGCTCAGCTCCAGATAGAAAGGACATGTTCATTCCAAAGTTGTCTTTAAAGCCAGACTGTTGATGGAGATTTTTTGGTCACAGTAAATTGTGACACTGAATGTCTAAATTTTCATTATTTTGCATTTTGAGAACATGTTTGAGTTCATATTTACAACATAAAACCTTTTTGTGTGTTTCTTTCAGATCTGGAGGGTGGAGAGTGTCGGCAGAGTTCCTGTCGACCCAAAAACTTATGGTCAGTTCTACGGCGGCGACTGTTACATCATCCTGTACACGTATGGACAGAGACAAATCATCTACACCTGGTACGACTATTTTCAGACACTGAGGCGCTTCATTTACATAAAAAACAGGGCTGTGACTTTCTCTGAGACACTCTGCTGATCTGTTTGTTTCATCACATTTAAACTGTGTAGACATTTAACTCATCTATTACATGAAATCATAGATTTAACATTATTTATTTCTTAATTAATCCAATGATCAGGTTTGATATGTTTATTCTTAATCATCTTGAATGATCACAAAGTCTGCTCAAACTTTTGAGACAGTCATAAAGCAGTACCAAGTAACTTTTTTGGCTAGTGGGGCACAACAATGACATATTATCACCTGAAAGAGATTGTGTGTTTAGGACAGTAGCATTGAAACATACCCAGCAGATAATAAAGCAACAATATCTGAGATAAATCCCAAACTCACAAATTTAATGCAAATATCAGATCTGACAAAAAATCAAATATTTTAAGGGTCTTGCACAAAAGTCTGCTCCATAACAGCCCCTGAGATGTTCACAAATTCTTCCTCAATCATTAAAGTTGCCAAACATCTGCATCAAGGTCTGCGAAGAATCTCTCACCACCATGGTGAAATCTTAACAGGAAGTCACAGTATTTCCTTTGTTCAGTGTTTGATCTGTGTGAAATTTAATGCACATGATTAAGGTCCGCCCCCAAATACCTCTATATACTCATATTCCATATACAGTCACAGTCTTGATTATGAAATAATAACTTCTACAGAAAACAAAAAAAATGATATATCTTAGATGATGTTACCTGCCACATCCAGTCTAATTTAGTCAAAGTAATAGCACCACCTGCTGGAAGCTGATGGTAATAACTTCTGTAAATAGGTTTGAATGAGCTGTAAATAATAGCTGTTAGTTTTCTACGCTGTCCTAAACTTTACTAAGGATAATAACTGGCTTATAGTCTGTTTTTACCGACTCTTTAAGCTCTTGCTAAACCCTTCCATGTGCTTGACATTAAAGATGTGCGCTGACGTTATCTACCTGAGCAGATCTGCCTCTAGTAACTAGAGTCTAGTTCATGGTGGCAGTTGTAGTCATTTGGGGACCCAAAGCAAACAATGATCATCTTTCCTTTGGCACTGCTAGAGCAGCTCTGTTCATTTCTGCTTGTTTCTAAAGCCTCTTTCTGCATCTCAGCTCCCTAAAATCACATTTCCCTCAGTCGTAGATCGTTTGTTAAAGGCAGAGGTAGTTTTCTTGAGTTGCTTCCATGTATTTGCTGTTTCCACTGACTGTTAAACTAAGATAAAAGACAAGTAAAAATCTGTAGGGGAAGATAATTGCACAAATCCAAAAACCCTGTTAAGGTTTAGCACTAATCTTTGTTACATGTGTCCCTCTGACCTGCAGGCAGGGATCCAGCTCCACTCTGGATGAGGTCACAGCCTCAGCCTACCTGACCGTACAGCTGGATCGATCTCTTGGAGGAAACGCAGTTCAGGTAAAACCAGTATGAGGTTTGACATGAACAGAATGTGCAGAGGAAGCCTGAGGGGTCTCATAAATCTGTGTCAGTGAATTATTATCTTTTGCATGCAAAGTGATGGTAAGCTTTTACTTTGTCATGGGAGAATCTCTCTTTTTAATCCTAAATGTCTCTAAATGTTCTTGTTTTATTTGGATGTTTTCATGTCTTTACGAGTTTGTGTGTTTTTGTGTGCTCAGGTCAGAGTGTGTCAGGGTAAAGAACCTCCTCACCTGCTGAGTCTCTTCAAATCCAAACCTCTCATTATCTACAAAAATGGTACGTCCCGTCATGGGGGTCAGGCTCCAACCCCTCAAACCCAGCTGTTCCAGGTCCGACGAAACCTCGGCACCATCACCAGGATCGCTGAGGTCAGCATTATTCCTCTATCACAGAAAATAAACCGCGACAGTTTTTGCATTTTAAAGATGTTGGATGTGATGTTTCAGGTGGATGCTGCTGCAGCTAGTTTGAACGCTAATGACGCCTTCCTGCTGAAGATGGCGGGTAGGCGGGGCTACCTGTGGATGGGAAAAGGAGCAAGCGATGAGGAGTTAAAAGGAGCGGAGTACATGAGCAAGGAGCTGAACTGCAGCTGCAAACAAATCGCAGAGGGGAGTGAACCAGGTCAGCCGCTGCACCCAGAATAAAGAATTACCATAACCTGACGGCTTGATGAGTTTGAAGTCACTGTGAATGTTGGAAAAAATGCACAAACTTTCCCTTAAATGAGTTTTTTACAGCTGAGGCTCTGAAAAATAACAAAATAAACTCAGCTCTAGCTGCTGCTGCATGACTGACAGTGTGGAGAACAAAACCTGTTTGTAATAAGTAAATATTAGAGCATCCTATACTGGACATCTAGACTGTCTTACCTGGAAACATCCTGCATTCAAAGGAGATGGTTGTTTCAGAAGAGACTGAGCCAAAGCCAAAGGGAAAGTGACCTACAAACTCCTCTCAGAAAAATGATCAAGTTTAGTTAAACTCTGGATTTGATATTTTATCTCATGGTCCAGATTGTCTTTGTGTGTTTTTGTGTTTTTTATTTGTCATCAAACAAGACTTAGGATCAGCACTTTAACGATAGTCAGTCATTTCTGCTGTACAGTTTGTGTATTTGTGATGATAATCTGTCTTACTTTCTTTTTCCAGCTGACTTCTGGGCAGCGTTAGGAGGAAAATCCGAGTACCAGACCTCAGAGAAATTAGAGAGTCAGAGTCTAGCTCATCCTCCTCGACTGTTTGGGTGCTCCAATAAGACCGGCAGGTTCATTGTGAGTGACTGATCCAGAATATTATAAGACTTTCATGATGAGATATAATAGCATTTGTGCATCCTGCAGTGGGATATTAGAGACCATAACCAGTGAGTCAGCTCCTTAATAACCTCCCCCTCCTCTGAATTCAACTCATTAAGACTTTTATCTGTTTATTCCCAGGTAGTGATAATAATCCGAACTCACTCTCTGCAGCACATTATTAACTGTCTGAACAAAGTTCTGGTGTAGGTCCGGTGTCAGTGTCAGTGTTTTTGTGTCGTGCAGATTGAGGAGGTTCCTGGAGAGTTCACTCAGGATGACCTGGCTGAAGACGATGTGATGCTACTGGATGTTTGGGATCAGGTACACTGCAGCTGGAGCACCTAATAGATCAGCTCTGAACCTTAAACATCCACTCTAACACCTTTAACCCTCTGCTGCAGGTGTTCGTCTGGATCGGAAAAGACGCCAACGAGGTGGAGAAAAAGGAATCAGTCAAGTCAGGTGAGATTTTGGGTTTGACTCAAACCTGCAGGTTAGAATGATAATGATTTGGTAGATCTGTTAGTATATTCATATTTAGTGGATTTAGTAGCAGTAATCTGGCCTCACTATCTGTGTCACGCAGGCTCTCAAATGTGCAAACCAGGAAATGTCAAGCATTTAACTTTTCAAACAAAAAAACTTTGGATCCTTCTGCATGAAGCTCATTTGAGAGCGAGACTTGATCAGTTATTTTTCATGTGATCATTTTTAAACTGAGGACATCAAATGATAGAAAAAAGAACTAGAGAACTAAACTTGACTTACATTTTTTAGCAGGACACAGGTTAATAAAATTTTCTGGAGCCCTGCAGTGTCTGGACTTTTTTAATCTGCTTCTTGCAAATTTTTCAAAAGAAGTAAAGTGTCTACACAAAAAGCAAAGAAAACATTAAAATATCTGAACTTTTCGGATCATCTTTATTCAACATCACAGTACAGTTTGAACCACCTTTAATTTCACATTTAATACCTTTTTCTGCCACAAGGGGGCCCACCAGCATATGTATGTCATATCAATGTTTCCTCTCTCTCCTCTACAGCCAAACAGTACATCGAGTCCGATCCTAGCGGGAGGGACAAGCAGACCCCTCTGGTGGTAGTGAAACAGGGACATGAGCCCCCCACCTTCACAGGCTGGTTCCTGGCCTGGGACCCCTCCCACTGGGACTCAGTGTCCTGGAGCATGCAGGCTCTACGTCTGTAGTTGACTGTGCAGAATTGAGCCATGCTTTTATCAATCAGAAATAAGTCAGTGTCTTTCACATGATTTACTTGGCTTTGCTCGTATTTTCTTATGCACTTTTATTCTCACAGCTCGACATATTTCACCTGTTTTGTACCTGAAACTCTGATGTCTCAAACTGTCAAAACGGAATGTTTACACAGGAGGAAAAGGTCAGGGAGGCACTGGTCTTGAATTTGTCATGTCTTTTTTTTTTTGTATAATTGTTTTATAAATCAGCAATTTGCATGCAGAAGGAATAAAATCTCACTGTGGAGAAGAGTTACTGTTTTATTTAAGCTATTCTTACCGTTCTTTTCAAACAAACGAGGGCTGGACTAAGTGTCAGTAAGTAACGAGCAAGAGTTAGTTTTGGCTGTAAAACCACAGGTGCTTATCATGTTTTCATTTCTCTCATCTTCACACTGCTCTGTCTGATACTGTCAGAGCTGCAGCTGAAATATTCAAACTTAAAAATTCTCAAAAATCTCAGGAATTAACCAGAGTGAGTTCAAGGAAGAACACAAGAGTTACTGTAGCTGAATCAATTATGGTCACACATTCAGAGCTTCCACTTGAATCGAATAATTTAGTTGTAATTACCACTTTCTGCCACACGGTGTCAGTGTGTCACATGTGAAAATAGGTCAAGTATTGCAAAAACTAAAATCCAACAAACTGCTATGATCCTGTGTCTAGTTTATTAAAAAAATGATCAATCTTATCACATTTAATATCAGCCACCTTCACCTGACAAGTCTAGAAAACACAAGAAGGCCTGAATTTCTTCTGATTATTAAAAAATCTTTGTCAACATAAGTAAATTTTGACATATATAAGATGAGAATTCATGATTTGTCATCATGATCCCCATTTTTAAACCTTTTTACCATCACAGTGTCTATAATTACAGATCATTTGACTGACAAGTAGTTGTCAATTATTGGTAGTATTTACGTTCTCTTATGAAACCAAAAACAGACTGTAAAAACATAAAAAAATGGGCTTTGTGTGCTGTTATCACACAGTTCAGCACTACAACTTGCACCAAAGTGCAGAATTTGTGGCTTGAGGGTTAGTGTTTTTTATCTAAACCAAATGCAGTAAAATTTTTGAAATAAATGAGCTGGAAAAGGCAGTAAGACCTCATGTTTAGTGAAGACTTCATCTCCTGCACTGTTCTCTGTTTGACTGGCAGAAACAGGTGACGTGCGTGAGCGCGTGTGTACCTGCGCGTGCGTGGTTGCGCGTGACCGCAACAGGCGTTGTTCACCACTAATCAGAGCGTGGACGGAGCTACTTCAAGTTAGCGCCTTTTAGATGGAATAAAACCAAAAATCTAATAACATAACTACAAAATAAAAGCATCACACAAGACTATATCATCGTGAAGCCTTATTGGGGCTTTGCAAAACGTAACCTTTTGTAATGAAGTTGAAATGGTCAGATAAAATTTATAGGGCTAGATTTATTTCTTACTCAACATGTAATGTATTCGTGAAGAGGATGTTTTAAAAGTTGAGCGTTAATGTTTCAGCTTTATTTTGAAAGATGTAGCGGAAGTCTGAAAGTTAACTCTGGTTAGCTTGTCGCCGTTAGGAGTGTAGAGGGAGTCCTCTCCACTCTGAGCGTTACTGTGTGTGAGGACATGAAGAGAGCATGAGGAGAAACTACAGCTGCTGTGGATTTACCCTCACTTTGTGATGGACTAACTCTGTGTGTGAAGGTAAGTTTGAACTGACGGGACTTGAAATACAGACTTAGATTAAAAACACACTGATGTCGGAACACCATATTTGGGGTTTGATGCAATTTAAATGGATGAGAAATTACGGTAACCTCTTTTGTGTTGTCATGCACTTTAACATATCAGTACCGTTAAATATGCGGGAATATTTCATCGCCACATGTTTGACCTAGTTTAACTTTTGTAATCCAACACTTGTTGGCATCGTAGTCTTGAGTCTAGCCTGGTTTGATCTGGCATCTGACCGAGTAATCCCCGCCCCGGACTTCGTTTAAAAATGTAGAAACCTTGAGTTGTTTAGCTTTAAACATACCAGAAAGGACATTTATCAGTGTTTTTCATTATCAGTGGAGTTATTTAGTACCCGCTAAATAATTCGGCTGAAATCGCATACACGAAATATAGGTCAGTTGCCAAGTAAGGGCCATTTAAGCGTAGATTCACCTGCCTTTTGTATATAAATACGCAGCATGGAGGGCGGGAGCGGTCGTTCTAATCAAACATAAAAAGTCATGATTTTGCTGTAATCTATATCTTTATTGTTTATCATATGTGAGCCGAACTCATAAGAAGCCATCTTTGATGTTCTAGCAATGTTAAATTTTTTATAAATCTGTATGTTCAAAGGCTAATAATCAGGGATAAATAAGTTTATAGATTTTATAAAGGGGAATTCGTTCTTCGTCACAAGAAGGCTGTCAGTCCATGTTGCCGAGCAACACCTTTTTCAAAAGCTGTGCCATGAAACCATGTCAGTGTGCCCCCTCATATTTCTGCCTTTGAGCACTAAATGTTGATGGTTGAAACTGGTATTTTAGTTGAATTTAAAAGCCTGCATCCTGTTGGCTCCTGTTTCCCTCTCTGAATAGAAATTAGCGTATGAAATCCCTGTTGGCGCTACATGTGCAAATGTGCTGCTCCCCTCCCTGCTGTTTTATTTCTCATTCATCCCTCAGAGGCAGGATGATGTGAGGATGTGTAGTCTGCAGGGAGAGGGGGGAATATTCACTTGTTGGGTGTTTGGTCTTTTGTAAATCAATGGGGTTCTGGGTGTTAGTGTGCTTTGACTCATTATTCATTATGCTCTGTTTACTTCCCCACCCCTCCTCTCTCCTGCTTCAACCCCTGTGGAATAAAAGCAGCCTCCTGGTCAAAATTTGGTGGCTTCTCTCCCTGATTTGGATACCAACATGGGGAACGGATTATCAGACCAGCACTTCCCGTGCCTGCCGTCCTTCCAGGCGCTCCACATCGTCATCCTGGGTCTGGATTGTGCAGGAAAGACCACAGTGCTGTACCGCCTACGCTTCAATGAGTTTGTGAACACTGTCCCCACTAAAGGGTTCAACACAGAGAAGATTAAAGTGTCTCTGGGAGGAAGCAGACGGACTGCGTCCTTCCACTTTTGGGATGTCGGAGGTCAGGAGAAGCTGCGTCCACTGTGGCGCTCTTACACCCGCTGTGCTGATGGCATTGTGTTTGTAGTGGACTCTGTGGATGCTGAGCGGATTGAGGAGGCCAAAACAGAGCTGCACAAGATCACAAGGCTCGCAGAGAACCAGGGTGTGCCAGTGCTGGTGGTAGCAAACAAGCAGGACTTGAGAAACTCACTAACACTCGCCGAGATGGAGAGCATGCTGGCATTAGGCGAGCTCAGCACGGCGACTCCCTGGCACCTTCAGCCGGCGTGCGCCATCATCGGTGAGGGCCTGCAGGAGGGTTTGGAGAAGCTGCATGCCATGATCATGAAGAGGAGGAAGATGTTGAGGCAGCAGAAGAGGAAGAGATGATGTGGGAGCTGAAACTCTGAGCTGGATCTAAAGCTGCATCGTCACCAGGCCAACCTTTGACCTCAGATTGGCTGAGTTTGATCCCTTCAGCAGGCCAGCAGAGGACAGTGGGATTGATTTTGCCCTGTGGACTCTGGACATGAACAGCAACAAGTCAATCTGAACAGTCAGTGTTTTTCAGCAGCAGGCTGAAGTTTCCTAGAGCTCCACATGAGCTTGAACTTTTAAGATGTTTGTAAAAATCTGTGCTGCTTCACTCTCCAGAAACAATCAGTCTTTATATTTCTACTCTACCAAAGTTTGTACAGACACCGTTTAGAGCAGAAGAAACACTTTCTGTCTGTGCTGCACATTAAAAACTGGTCCAGAGTTTACATGCAGAGACTTGACTCATTCAGGACAGGAAGCAGCGGTAGGACCCTGACGTAAACTGGCGTTAATCATAGATATATAATGATGGAGGTGGACCTTCCTTCCTGTGGTCAGATACTGACAGGCAGAGATAAGCAGAGCACAGTCACACTAATCTTTCTGATTTAGCTTCAGGTTCAGCAGTCGGTCCTCTGAGTTAGACAGCAGCTGAATAAGAAGACGTCTATCTCAGTATGTTTACATAAACTGTTACGATTTTACCTCCATTAGGCCGTTTAATCCGACAGAATCCGTATGTCATCCTCCGCTACAGTAGGAGGCACTATCCCTGCCTTCAGCTTGTTACACTTGGGCCTTAGGCTGCAGACACAGCGCAGTTTGATCTCCGTTAGCTCATATTCAGTCGGAAGTTAGACTTCCATTTGGATGCCAGAAAGTTAAGCATTAGTTTTTCAATCAGGTGGTTTTGTTGGAACATTTTGTTGCCATCATAAATGCATCATCGGATGTTAAAAGAAATGATGAAATATTTAAGTTAAAAAATGTCGATCTGTTCAGGTGTTACTGAGGCCCATATTAGTTTGATAGTAGTCAGACAACAATTGGTAGTTCTGGCACTGTTGGCAGGTGTTTAGTCTTGCTGGTTTGTGTTTTGATCTGGTATCTCTCATCCTTCTCTTCACAAATACCCCACAGATTCTTTAAGGGGTCCAGGCCAGACAAATCAGGCACAGTATTATGGTCAGTGAATATTTATCAGTAGTTTTGGCACTGCAGGCAGGTGCTACATCTTGCTTGCAGCCTTTGTCTGGTATTTACTATTGGGCAGCTGTTAATTATCTCACTCATCACAGATTCTCTGCAGGGTACAGATCAGACCAGTAGACTACCTAATCAAGCACAATGATATGGTTAGCCTATGTTTAGTAGTTTTGGCAGGTGCTTAGTCCTGCTAGCATCCCTTAGCTTGTCTGTATTTTATGGACGGGTGTTTCTCTGTGAGGTTCAAGTCAGACAAGCCAATTGGAGAGTTAAGCACAGTCATATGGTCAGCTAACATTTGGTAGCAGTTATGGCGCTGTGGGCAGGTGTGAAGCCCTGCTGGAAAAGGACAAGACTGAGGATGCCTGCTATTTATGAACTGAACTCTGTCGTTATTGTACGTTTTTCAGATGCAGATGTGATCACCTTATCTTCTTAAACATTCTCCCCCGATAGATGACAATCATGCAGTTTTTATTATGGGATGAATTTACAGTTTAAAATTTCAGTAATCTCCTCTTGAGGACATGAGATTTCCTTATAAATGCATCAATCACTGATAAAATGTTCCGAGGGTGACTATTGGTCACCCTTTGAAAGTAAATGAGGTGGGCCGTTAAATGTGAGATTTTTACCTGCTGCTTCGAAAATATTCCCCGTCCGTCCTCAGAGGCGACCTCACCTGAATTTGAGGACATCAATTGTTCAGCAGAGACATCTCCTGAATGCACTTTAATGAGAAACTGACTGAAGGACGCTGACTGAACTGGATCTGAAAGAGGAGAAATATTGCTTCAAAAGAAGCGTTTATAAAACATGTGGATACTCTTGTCACTCTTCAGCTCTGTTTGCAGGGTGTTCATATTTATGTGTTTGATCACTCTGTTAAATAAAGAAGCTTAAGGACAGAAACACAGCGTCTGTGTCTTTATCTAATCTGAAGCTGCTGATCGAGTTTGTTCTTCACTCGTTTTTTATGTAACAAACAGTCAGAGATAAAAACCTGACTCAGTCCTGCTACCCCAGATAAAACTCTGACTTGTGCAAAAGTCATATTCCTCTCACTGCGTCCCAGTTTAACCTCTCCGCTCCTAGCTGCAGCTTGTTGCGTCATTATGAATATTCAAATCACAGAAAGAAAGAAAGAAGAGAAACACTTCATGCATTTATATCAGCTGCAGATCCATAGAGACGAGGAACCATGCTGCTTAAAACCCAAATGTTCTGCAGTGCGTTCTTGACTTTTGAATCTCCTGAGAGTTAATCAAAGGAGTCGTGAGAGATGTGTTTCAACGCTGCAAAAAGCTCAGTAAAGTTATGAATTTTTTGTGGTTAAATGGCGGAAAAAGGAAAGCAGAAACACTTCTCTTCCAAATAAAAGACAAACTTAAATTCATTTTATCATCATTGCCTTTATATGAGATGTTCAAACTGTATTTATTCCTATCAGGAATAATGGTGTAAACATGGCTGACAGAGTGAATACAGACCTAACAAAGTATCACAGTAATGACCGGTTATTGAGGTACTTTTCAAACATTTCACAATAGAAATCCAAATCTTTCTGCTCCATACCGTACTGCAGCAGTTTATTTGGTGGAAATGCACCTTTAGTTGTGGTATCTATGTACTTAAGGGAGAGAGACTGTTGGGAGTGGGTTAGTCCAGTCTCACTGTGGGAACAATAGGAGCACAAACACATGATGGGAGGAGGTTAAGAGAAGCACTGGAGGTGTTATGGATGGTTTCATGTCTTGACTCTTCTGTTTAGGGTTTCAGCTCTGAATCCTGCTTCACACACACTCATTAGTTCTTGGTCAACCAGGTGGGAATACTGGGAGAATTATCTGCACATTTGTAGTGATGAGGAAACCTGCACAATGTCTCAAAACGAGTTCAAAATGAGGACTAATTTGTTCCAGGTTTCGTATCATGTGGCAGCAGAATTTGTGCTCAAACTCAGAAACATTCAGTACAGTGAGGAATAATCTGTTATTCCCCTCCTGAATACTGGAACATATTGTATCCCGGTGCTGCTCTCTGCACGTGTTACTGTAATGGTCTCGGTCTGGATGCAAACATTAAACCCCCTTTAGAGACTGAGTGTGAACACGTTTTGCTTGATGCTCTTCCTGAATCTTCAGAAACATGGCCACCTGCCTGCCAGCCTGAACAGTTTCCATTACTCCACGCTCTCACGGGCTGGGTGGCGTGCCAGGTTCAGCCGCTCCCTCTTCCCATGGCCCTCGGCTGCCCGATGACCGATACGCTGCAGCGCAGTGACAGAACGGGAAGGGCTTTCAGGGGTCACATGTTCCCAAACATCCATGTCAGACCGCCTGACTTCCCAGACCGCTGTGGTTCTGGAATCATTATCAGGAGAGGAGGGACTAAAGCTGTTTGTGACAGCACCTGCAGATCAGACAGGTGTGAACATGAGTGTGGATATGAATCTGAGACGGTTAGAGTTTATTTGTCTTCTTTTAGTTTAGATGTTTGTAAAAGTCATTTTCAGGTCTCACAAATCCACTCACTTTCTAATGCAAATTAAACCGTCACTATAAAAATCCTGCATGTCTTTGGACCATGGGTTTGTTTTCAAACAGCAACTAAAGGATAAATACAAAATAAAAGACATGTGCCAAAGTTTAAAAAGCTGTACACTTTTTGACCAAGACAACCTAGAGTAGAAAAATTTGTCCATTTAAAACATTATCATAAAAGTTCCAACTCTTATAAGTGTATTCTGATGAAATTACAACTTTATCCTGGAAATTTCCAAAATTATCCTTAAAAAATTCCAACTAGAATCTTCAGAGACATACCAAGACTAAAAAAATATATATACCTGAAAACATATAGCCTTATACACAAAAAATACATTACGTTCTTAAAATTGTACAACTTTATCATCCAGAAATTCTGTGATTATCCCTCAAAACTTTTAAATTCACCCCCCACCAATCTGAATTCATTCTGAGATATAAAAAAAAATGGGTCCAATTTTAAACTTTAACTCTATCCTTGAAACATTCAAGCTTTATCCACCAACACCTACATTTTTATTCACAGCAGAAATTTGCTTGAGGAGTGACGATAGTCCTTAAAACTACGTACAGCTTTACCCAGGGAAAAACAACATTTTTATCATGAAGAGAAAATAACTTGATCCTTTATCCTTAAAAACAAAAATATTTTTTTCTGGACAAATTTAAACCTTTTCCTTTCCCACCCACTCTACCAAGAATGTCATCAGTAAAATATTACAGCTAATCTTTTGGACAACAGAAAGAAATTCAACCTATATTAAGACAAATTGTACAACTTTATCATTTATTTCGTTAGATCACCACCATAAAATCTTTAAACGAATCATGACAAACAGCACCCATCTCCCCCGTCTGTGAGCAGTAACGTTTTTTTGGGATAGGGGTTTTGGTTGAGGGCACTTGAGTGAGGGTAATGGGTGGGAATATTCGGGTGGGGTTTCAGTGGCAGACGTCCAGGCTCTTCTCAGGAAACTGAATCAGGCTGGGAGTGGTTCCCTTTCCCTTATCGCCGTATCCTGTCCTCCACTCTATGACGATGGCACTTTTAACACCGTTCACACCCTCAGCAGGCACACTGACCCCGACTGATCAGACTGACTCTTTACACACTCTTCAATCTGCCTGAACACACACACAAACACATATTCACACATCTCCTGCTGAATACGCACTCACAGACGGTGGAGCTTTAAGAGTCTGTTTCCTGTTTTATGAGCGAACAAGGGATCAAAGAGTGAAAGACTGAAATACACAAAGAAACGAGCCAGTGGACGAGTGAGCGGAGAGGAAACTGAAGCTTCAGACCTGATGTTGAGTCTGAAGCAGATCAACAGGAACATTTCAGAGTTTTTTCCCTGAGTTTGGTTTATGTTCTGGAAATTCTGCTGTTAGAGTTCATACACAGAGAGCTGGAGGCCTCTGGACAGAGATTATTCAGCCTGTTACATAATAACTTTATCAGCATACATAGGTATGGGTTTAAAATTGATTACATAATGCCTATACCAGCACTTTGAGTTATGGATTTATAGTGTATAAAACAGGGTGAAACTGCTGACTGAAATGAAAGAATCAGAGATTTTAAGAATAAATTTTTGAATAACATCAAAACAAAACAAAATTTTAAGAGAATAGAAGCTGAATAAACAACAATAAAGTTTAAGGGGAAAAATAAAATTTGGTATTTTACAAAAAATAAAATAAAAATTTATAGGAATGACATTTTTAAAAGTTAAAGAGTAAAGTTGTAGTTTTATACTGCTGCCTTCCCTGCCTCTGGAAACAAGACAAATGCACGGATTAAAAGTGTGCTCTACCCATCTCAGGTACGTAAAGGGCAGGAAGCTCTCAGAACAAACCCTTTGTTGCTGTTCTCCCCACCTTAACTCTTCATGTATGCACATAAAACAGAAGGGAGGTGTGAAAAGAGCTCTTAGATTAAAGCCGTGAGGATCTGTTCTGCTGCTCTCTAACTGCTAACTGTAATTTACTGTAATGATTAATTTCTTGAGGATACATTTGACAGAATTGAAAAGTTAGACTTTGACTTTGATGTGAAGAAGGAAAAGTTGAGAATGACTCTATCCACTTCTGTTTTCTCGATAAAAATGTACACTTCATATGTTGTTTTTGTCATTTAAATCTCCAAGTCTTGGCTGTACTCTGCTGCATATTTTATCTGTACAGTCATCCTATTTCTCAGTGTGTTTATGATTTCAGCCTGACTCTCTCTGAGTAGGTTTACAGCTTCATATGCTGACCAGCTGTGTCATGAAGTGACTCCAAAACATCCTGAGAGCTCACAGGGAGAAAACAGCCTGTACTCAGACCGTTACATAACCTGACCTTTGAGCCGCTGCACTCTCTTTTATCTCTGTTTAAACAGGAGCTCACATTTAGCTCTGTTTAAAGGGAATCATCGCTTCTCTGAAGATTGACTGCTTTGTTTATTCTACCTGTTCGAGTCTCTGAGCTTTGAGACAAATCTGGCTTCTCATGTTTAGGTTTTATGTTTCTGATCAGGGGTATTAGGAGAGTGCCTGCAGACAAATCTCAGGGCAAACTGTGCAGAAAAGGCTGCATGTCTTTGGCTTGTCTTTAATCCCTCTCCACGTTTACAGATTTCCCTTCAAAGACGGTTTATCTCTAATTAAACATTATTAAAGTCCTTCTGATGTGAAATCCTTGCGACATAAAAGAGCTGCTGCCGGAAAATCAGCTGCAGAAAAAAAAAAAACGTAAAGGACAAATCTGCTTTCAGTTATCAGGGTCTTATGACATGATTTCCTCGATTTGCTGTCTGTGTTCCTGCTGATAATGATAAAATTAAGTTTATGTGAGTGCAGCATCCTGTTTACATTGTACCTCATTTTACACACACAGTATCTTATTCTTCATTTTAAATTTATATGGCCTCATTGATTTGACTTTGTTGAACTCTTTGCCCAGGAAGTCTCTCACAAAATGTCAAACCTCCTCTGTTCCTTTCTGCAGAGTTGCTCAGCCTCTATGAAATCCCTCAATTATACTCAGATGTTCAAACGTGGAAGTTGCTAAGTGTTAATGTAAGCTGAGTACTGATTGGTTAATAAGTTTATTTGTAGCTGTTCATCAGTTTGGGAGCTGTGACGCGCAAAATCATTTATGAAGGTTTGGTTGAATTCAGACCTAAACAGCAGAAAGTCTTGAAAACTGTGTTTGGACTTACGATACGATACAATACGATACAATACGATACAATACGATACGATATGATACGATACGATACGATACGATATGATACGGTACAAAACAATATAACATGATATGATACGATACGATAAGACACAACGCAACATGATACAACAGGACACGATAAGACAAGACAGGATACGATTCGATGAGACATGACACGATACAATAAGACACGACACAATACGATAGGATAAGACACGATACGATAAGACGCAACAGGATACGATAAGAAACGACGCAGTAGGATAAGACACAACACAATAGGATAAGACATGACAGGATACGATACGACATGACACAATAAGATACCATATGATACGATACAAAACAATATGATATGATACAATACAATACGAAACAATATGATACAATACGATAAGATACGATACACTTTATTGTCCCCTTAGGGAAATTTGTGTTGGACTTCAAGAGCTGCACAGCTGATGACACACAGATCTAAATGTGACATGAAAAGATTGATCCTTTAAGATTATTGATCATTTCTCTCCTTTCTGTCACTCACTTTTACTTTATTTTAAACAACTTGCAGTAGTACATGAGTAAAGTTCCCCTTTGGTAAAATTACTTTGTGCAGAAACATGTTTTCAGTGGAGAAGAAAGTAAAATCGAAATACAAGAGAGAGATTTTCTCTCAAGTTCTCAGAGTAATATTTCAACTTTGTGGAAAGCAAATGGACTTGGAGAACTTCCCTCCTGCAGTACAGGCTGCAAAGTGTCTTCATATGCTGGATTAAATCACTCACACGTGGTTTAAAACTCTCTGCACACACTGTTTTTATTCTCTCTGTGCAGGCTGCTTCATTCGGTCCTCGCCCTTGTTTTTGCTAAACCTCGTTGCCACTGAAGCAGACACTAATTAGAAACAGACCAATAAAATCCCAGCTGTCATTTCTACTCTCTGAATCCACGCTCCCTCCAAACTGTTACGTAACCTCCAAACATTCGCTGGAACTCATCTCTGTCTTTGTTTCCCGCACAGATCCTCCTCCTGTGTGTCCACCAATCCTCACAGAGCTTTATTTATCACTCCCTCCCTGAATATTTCAGCAGAAAACGACAGGTTGGAGAGGAAACACTCTGCTGGAAGTGCTGTTTAATATCCCACTTCCCTCCTGAACCCACTCTTCATCACATGGGTCGGCCTGAAACTCAAGTCTGCTCGGCAACAGAGCGGCGCAGCATGCTGAATGGGACAGAAGTGCTTTTTATTTCTCTCTGAGGCTGACACACTTCTGCCACGCCAAGAGGAATTATTCATATACTTTATATATGATGAAAGGGTGCATGTACTGTGGTTTATGGGGGAGGTGCAGCCCCCTCTGGATGCTTCGTTAACACCTCTGAACCCACCTGCTGAGAGGGCCGGGAGGTGAAACCCCTCTGAGTAGCTCCTGTTTGAACAGACTGATGTGTCCCTCTTTAGAAAGGTGACACATTAAACACACCTGGGAGAGCCCACACACACTCTGTTTGTTTGATGTGATTGGCTCTGACCTCTGTTAGAGCTCCGGCTTCGCTAAAAGGCTGAAACTGCAGGTGAGAGATGACCTATAATCAGAGCAAATCCTCATCAGGGGAAACTAGGCTGATTCTTTTTAAAAATAAAATGAACTTTTTGCGGATGTCGGATAGAAATGAAGAATTACTGGTCAGGAGTTTGGACTGAAAACACTCTGTATGGAGAGCAACAGCAGGCGTCATGCTGTTGTTTTTCAAGGAAACTTACAACCAGCTAATTGCAAGTAAACCACAAGAAAATTGAAAACATTCAGGGTTCTGATTTGGTTCAGTCAAAAAGAGCAGGAGAGATATACCCACTGCTCTTTTTTTCAATCCTGGCATATGAACCAGATGAAACACAGTCTTCAAACACAGTGTCCCCCTCGCTCAGATAAAATGTTATTCCTCTCAGGTTTCTTCTTCTGCAGCTGATGTGTGATCTGTTCTGTCAGTGCCAGGAACACCGAGATACATACAGTCCTATCTGCTCCACAGCTGCCTCCTGTTGGAGGAGCTTCAACCGTGTTGTACACCAACACAAACACACGCAGGATCTCACACACTGTAATCTTCACTGTGCACACATTTACAGTCCTCACTCTGACCAACACAAATTATTATTCCTAAGCATTACTGAGTCTGCTGATTCTTTTTTTTTTCTTCTTGTCAGGCTGAAAATGAAGAAGCAGTATGACCACAATAAAGTTGTTACCCCCTGACATTTCCTGGAATTTTACCAAGAAGCTGGCTAAAAAAAGTCTGAATGAAGTTATTGGAAAAGTTAGTCATGTCATTTAATTATTCGTCTTTTCAACACATGCAGCTGTCCTAAAAAAACCCTCCTGAAGATTCAAGACAGTCTTCTCTGGAATTTTCCAAAGATTTTTAAAGTGAAGAGCAGGAAAAAGTGTAGCAAATCTTGTATGAAAAAATACATTGTTTTTTTTTTTGCTCACATATATATTCTAGTAATAAAAATTAAAAAGCTCTAAAAAATTCAAAAATTTTAATACAGACCAGTCCTTAAATTTTCCAAGTTGTTGTCCTGTTTTTTTTTTTGTTTGTTTGTTTTGGTTGGCAAAAAGAAATCTAAGCTGAATTTTAAAAAATGGTCTGTTTTTGTTCACACATGCAACTTGGCCTGAAAAAAAGATCTGGAAATTTCAATTAATTTTATCAAAGACGGTAGCAGGACTTGTTGAAGTGGCTCATTATCAGCTGTAATGCTGACTGTGTTTTGTTTTCTGCAGCACAGTTTGTTTGCTAGCCTTCTTTAAAAGATCCCAACAGCCCCTCCAAACCCCTCAGCGGTAGTTTTAATGTCCCCTCTAAAGTAAACGTTTGCAGGCCGGATTATGTTAAACTCTTAGCCTGTGTGAACCCCTGTGGATGAAGAAGGAAGCTCCTCTCCCCCTGCTGTCTGAGGATCTTCCCGTCCTGCAGCAGGTCCTCACTGATGTTCACGACCTCAGGGTGAGGAGAACAATGAAGAGAGGGAGGGAGGGAGAAAGGGAGGGAGGGGGTGTTTCCGCTGTTAAAGGGAGGAGGACGTGGGGAGGACAGCTTAGAGTACAGAAAAACTTCTTTAAAGTGACGCATGAATCAACCTTGACACACTATCTCACACAATGTAAGGTCAAAGGTCAAGGTTTGTTTTTCTCTGTCAGTTTTTCTTTCTTTGACCCTGATCGTGGTCCTGCTGAGAGTTTACAGCAGACTGATATCTGTATGTTGTTTACGACCTTTTTCTGACTGATGCTGTCTCACAATAATATGATGTTTACAGGGCTTTAAACTTATCTCCAGACTCTTCATTTTATTAGAATTGACTGGTTTCTTTTCTCCTGTCTGCAACTTAAAGAGATGAATGTTTTACAGAAAGCCACATGAGCTGTTTGGATGGCAGCAGATGTAGACCCTCTACCCTTTAGAGAAGAGGGTGCAGTGTCCATGACTTCCCAAAAAGAATGTCAAAGTTCTCCTCTTCCCCTCGGTTCACCTTAAATGGGCTCAGGTCCAGAGAATTCTCTGGTGCTTCTGGACTCTGTATCTATCTGTTTTCCTCTCTGCATGGTTGACTTTTAACCTCACTGTAGACGCGGTCATGAATTGTGTTCACAATGGTATTGAAGGGATGTTTAGCCCATGCAGTGATTTTCACTCCAGAGTCCTGTCTGTTTTTGATGCAGTGCAACCTTAAAGGGATATTCCGGCGTAAAATTAAGTTAGGGTCAAACACACCATAACACTGAGTTAGACACCCTATCGAGAGATAAATGTTGATGACCGCTTGCTTCTCTAGTTATACCAACTTTAGTAGCGACCGCACGATAGCAATACCAAAAAGCCACTCTATAGCCACAAACAGCACCTAACTTCATCAACAGTACATATAGGGTCCTAGCCATAGTACTAGCCACCAAACGTATTTTTAGCTATGCCTGGTTTCTTTAGCAAACACAACTCACCTACTCTCTTTCAGCAGCCGCTCGTTTGTACAGAGACCTCGGGGCAAGTCCATCGACTGCAGCGGGGTGACGCAGCTCAAGGAAGAACATAAATGATCATTTCCTCATGGAAATGCAATCGGACCTAGAAGCTAAGGCAGAGGAACTACTGACGGGGTGTCTAACTCGGTGTTACGGTGTGTTTGATCCTGACTTAAATTTACGCCAGAATATCCCTTTAAGATCCGGACCATCCAGTCTTGGTTTTGGTCCTTGTCCCTTTTGTACAGAGATTTATCCAGATTCTTTGAAACCTACAAATTCTTGGACATTTTGCGTTCCAGAACATTGTTGAACCATTCACTCACACAGTCTTTCACAGAGCGATGAACCTCTTTGCACCTGTGGAAGAGAGAAAACTGTAGCCTAGCGTGTGTACCAGTTCTCTTAAGTGTTCCCCATTATAGAGGCTTAGCTGTCCAACATCAATTGTGGCTGAAATGCTTATTAATGACATGCAACCTCACTTAAAAAATACTGAAATGTCCCTTTAAGGCTCCACTTGTGGTCCAGTCTGGTTTAATCACCTAATGTAGGTTATAAAAGGGGTTACACAGGCAGCTGGGCACTTGGTGTTCTCAGAGTTTGACTGTGTAGTTTCAGTTTTGATTATATGTTAACAGGCTGTTTATCCATCCAGTTTCTTATGAAGCTGATTCATCGGTCTGAAAGCTGTAGAGGTCTGACTTTGGTCTGCGCTGATCTGGTCTGTTCATGAGAATCCTGTGCAGCAGGAAACAGATAACCAAACATTGAGGACACTGATAAGACCGGACCACCCTTTCTTCTGAAGCCCGTGTTCTTTTCCTTTCTTTTTGCTGAACTCGGCCTCTGTGGTGACTCTCTCATGACTCTCAGAAGATTATATAACTCAGGTTTAGGTTAAACACACACAAAGAGGAGGATCATTTGTTTTATGCAGCTGAGAAATTTGTCAGCTTACTGTCATAACACGACTACTTCACCATCAGGTTAAAGGATTAGAGTCATGTCCAGCCTGGATTATAAGGCAGCGAATAAACTTAATCATGCTTTTATAAGGGCTCTCGTT